CTTAGTCTTGATTCTTTCTTGCGAAATTGGAGTCTAGATTTACTTGGTTTGTGAGGTAGAATTGATTCGTTATAAGAGGTTTTGCTAGCTGGGTGTTTGGCTTTGACAATTGTGGTTTAAGGGAGTTTGACTGGCAAGGTTAGATCTTTAATAGTTTTTGGAAGGATGTGACCTTTGGCAGTTTCATGTATCAAAACCGTATTCCACTTTTATAATTTTCAATCGAATTATCATAAAATTATCTTTGAAGTGAACAAAATAAAGAATCATCATTTTTATTGTTCTTATAGCATGGGATTCTTGCGTCGCTTTTAGTTTTGTTAGTCTTATAATATGATTGATTGGTTACTGACAAACTTAGTCGAATCTTTTGTACTCGGCAGAAGTTGCAAAATGAAAATGTTACTGATCATGTTAGCCTTTGACCAACAAACAATAAGAAGCTACTCAATTTATGGAATCTTTTTTCTTCTTTTCTATATACAACTTATAAGGTTCTCTTTAGTAATGAATTAGGCTCACCAAATGATTGAGTGGACAGTGTATGAATCACAGCTGAATACTTATTTGTTCAATTGTTTAATATATTTCATCAAACGAATGATTTTTATCTCACAAGCTATGCTCAAAATTAAATGGTAGAAAACAAGAAAATTTCAAAAAATAATAATCAAATTTGTAAGAAACAAGAAATCCGACTAGTTTCAAATTTGTTAGAAACAAGAAACATCTACATATACATTTTTACAGGGGATTTTTGCAAAAAGTCTTTTGGATCCGGGTTTTATCCGGGATTAACTATATTCGGATCTAGGATAAGGATTTTTAGGAATGTTGTCTTAAAACCACATTAATTCTTAATTAACACCTAAATTGGAAATATATATAATATATCTAAACTAACCATATTTGTTAATTACCTTAACTACTTCTAACAATAATTATTTAACTATTTATTTCTATATAGAAAGAATATGTGATTAAAATAAATATTTTGTAAAATATTGATTTGGGAAAAAATTGTTCTTACAAAAATAATTTGTTTTGTTATAAAAATTAATATTTGTTATTTGTAATTAAATTACATAAATAATAATAATAATTTGTCTACACCATCAAATGAAAATAGTTAGTTATTTAATTTTTTTTATTTAATATTACGTAATTTTAAAAAAATAAATTCAACAATATAATGTCAATGGGTTTAATTCTTAAGATTTGAAAATATTAAAAAAGATACTAACCAAAAATTATCTATCCTAATTTGTTTCTAACAATTTGGATACAAATATTTCAAATCTTTCGAAAATTTAATGTGATCACATTTGTTACTAAAATCTCGATTATATTCCTAAAATCTCGAGAAGATCTTCCTTTAAATCCGCAAATTATAATTTTTGAATTAAATAAACTAACAATACGAATATTCCTAATATATTCGAGTACTAATAATCATTATTATAGTATATTCCTTATCTAAATACTAAATCTTTTATTTTTAATTCTAATCAAAATTTATGAAATCGGAAATCAATCATGATTTCTTAAACATCCTTAAATTTCGAAATAATCAACAATTCGAATATGCTGAAAAATCATAACGAAATATCTTTATTTACTTAAATGTTTTAGTAATCGTTATAGCAAAAAAATCAATTCCAGCGCTATTGGTTCTTTAAACTTTTTGATTTACATAGATATTTTGTATTCCATAATTAACTCATTAAAATCTTTGATTTAAATAACTACAATGTGAAAATTAGTATATGTAATAAATATAACATATAATATTTACGAGATTTTCATATACTTGATCCCCAACCCAAATTGGCGAATATATTATTTCTCATAAAATATCTTTAAAAGATTTTTTTGTTTCGTTTAGATATTATTCAACAAACTTCCTAAAACAAATGGAAATATCTTTAATTAGCTTTCCTCATTCATAAATCTCACCATGCATATAGACGTTATTCAGTTGATAATACAAAATCGAATATATTATGAATCAAATATATAATTTTCGAATATTTGCAAAATTGTTTTAATTTGTAGGTCAAACCTAAACTTCTCGAGTACTTTTCATTCATCTATATAAAGAAGATCTTTTCAACCACTGATCCACAATACTAAACATCCACAATACTAAACGTTTTCGTAATAGAGATTTATATGGCTTCTTTTAAACAATTTCTTAGTATATTTTATATTTCACGTTTGTTTTCTTTTAAAAAATTAATTGTCACCTACTTTTCTTATGTTGCAGCTTTCGATTTTAAGATCTTGGAAACTATGAACATCATCATCTCCGTCTCCAAAGAAACTATCAAATAAGGTATGCATTAAAAGGTTAGTTAGTCCTTCTTCTTATCTTCAGATACAAATTTTTTAATGTCCAGTATTTTTTTACATTTTCAGAATTTCATGTTTCCTCATAATGATTGTAAATGATTTTCTTTTATAGGCTAACATAACAAGTCCATTCTATTAATTCATTTTCTTTAACGAAAAAAGGAAACGAATTTGTTAATAAAATAAAGTTCTTATTCTTAATTTTCATTATTCTAATGTTATGTATTTTAATTGTTTTTATGATATATACTTTTACAAAAACCTGTGGATCCGTGTTTTGGTTGGTAAGTGTAATTTTTCTAATCTTTTAAAACCTTTTATAACAATTACATGTTTTATATGGTTAAAAATCACATCATATATATTTTATTTTCTTATCCAATGTATTTCATGTTTAATGTTTTCTAATACTTTTTTTATGTATATTTTGGTTTTGACTAATTTTATATATAAGTTCTTAATTTAATCTATTAAAGTTTCCAAAGAAAACATTTTAAATATAAGTTCTTAATTTAATCTATTAAACTTTATTAAAAGTAAAATATTATATTTATTTAAACTTTTTAAAAAGTTTAATTTTATAAAACGTTGTAAATATTTATAATATTAGGAATTTTATAAAGTTTCAAATATTAAATAGTTGAATTTAATAATAATTTATAAGAAATTTAAACATTATAAATATTTACAAAAGATACGGGACGATATATTACGGGTGAAATCCTAGATATAACAATAAAAATACTATTATGAATTTTGGGTCGATATTAAATGAAGTTTCAAATATTAGAAATCTTTGAATTTTATTGGAAAATGACAAAATGATGTAGATTGGACGGGACAGAGTTATATGGTCGTGGAGGAGTTTGTGGTCGATATTAATACAATATGATATACTACGGGTAAAATCCTATAATTAACAATCAAAATATAACTATACAATTTTAAACACTAAACAAAACTAAACAAATAATATTAACAAAACAAATAAAACTTCAAATTTTAAATCTTTTGTTATAAATATCGTCATACAGTGTACCATACATTTAAATCAAATAAAACAATAGCATATATGCCCTGTTCTAAAAATCCCCGCCTAACCCCGATTACTCCCCGCTTAATCGCTAGGCCCACCCTCTCCGCCTCGATTAATGACTAATCCCCTAAAAAATCAGTAACCCGATTATTCTCCGCCTAATCCGATTACTTCCCGCCTAATCCGATTATTTTCCGCCTAATCTTACATACTCCGATTATTTTTTAGATTGCAAGTATAAAAAAAACATTTTATTTTTGTTATTCAATCATTTGAATTGGGAGTTTGTGATGTTTTACATAACTTGTGTTCAAATTTTAATAAAAATCATAAAAATTTGTTTTTATTGTAATTTTGAAAACAATATTGGATTAATATATTTTAAACATATTAAAATAACCCTAAAACTAATCTCCGATTAATCCCCGATTTTAATCCGATTTTCCGATTAATCGCTAGGCCCATGCCGAGCGCCCGACTAGCGCCTAGCGATTTTTCAAACAAGGCATATATGTATAGATCATCTTAAAAAAAAAAAATTATTATTATTTAATAAAATTATAGATCCGCGGTGTACCGCGGGTTAATATCTAGTTAAGAAAATAACAAAATAGTATAAAAATATACTAAAACTCAGGGCGATAATAATGATGGTACGATGGTCAATGACATTGTCACGTGATCACATTTAGTGATGATTAGCTTATTCAATTTGGGTGGTTTGTTAATTCTCTCTATAAATCGCAATGAAAATAAATTTATATTATTGACGTTGAGATCTTTTAAACCTAATCTCTTTAAATCACTTTTATCTCTTGTTCTAATAAGGACAATTATCGTCTTTTTTTGGGACCCAAAGATATTAACAAATGTAATTAAACCAGTTTCTTAATATAAGCAAATACAAAATTATCCGTAACTCTAAAAACCCAGCCTTTTAAGAAAAACCATAAAACTCTAAAACCCTAAAAATAACTAATCAGGTAAATAATCCAATCGTTTCGTTCAAACGGTTTACCAAACTATATTAGTTTAGATCTAGACTCATAATACCAATCGACCTAAGAAAAACTAGAAATACTTTGGAATATACTCATTCACCAATCACCATCAGTTGTTGTGACTTATAAATTAAACTATTGTTAATTCTGTACACTGATAATGACATACACTGATTACTTACTACTATTATATATCCAAGAAATAATACTTACTTTTGATCATATAACTCTTTTTTTTTTTTTTTTTTTTGACAAATTGATCATTTAACTCAATGTAAAGCAAATACTGTTAAAAAAAAGAAGAAGCAAATACTGTAATTGGCTAGTAAATAAATGAAATGAATAGCTCCAAAATCCAAGGAACAAAAAGACATGATAACTTAAAAGACGAATAAGAGTGAAGACCATTTCTGACACAAATGTTTTTTAAAGTTTTGTCATTCTCGATAATTTTATAGAAAAATGTGGAGGGAGGGAATCATTTTGTATCAAACCTAGTGACATAAAAAAAAAAACTCTAATTTTCTTGTCACAACTTATTTTTAATCCTATCCTTAATTCAGTAAACTCAAAGCTGATTAAAATTTTAAAACTAAGCAAACTACTTAGAGTTTGTCAACTGTCAAAAGGTTAATTAGATCATTTTGACCCCCAAAAAAGTTCATAAATCCTGACTGTACATCTGTACCTCAAACACCACATGTCACCATCTCACACTTTAGATTCCAGTAACTATACAGAGAGTGTGTACTACTATCAATTGGTAAAAGTAATCAATATGAGAGACTTCAGATTCTAGTCTTCTACTACTTACTATTACTAAGCTTTGCTTTTTGTGTCAATGTTCATGGAACTTACTGTCCCTCCTCTCGAATCAAATTCGTGGGATCACTTAGAACATACCTAGGAAGCTCATATCTAGCACCTACATTGAATAAGAATAAGCCATTTAGGTAACAAAACAAGAAACGAGAGAAACATTCAAACAAATCAGATTGTGTTTTGCAAACCTCTTTCATCCCAACACAATGTTAGATCACGATTCTGGACAATCACACCAGCACTGTCAACAATAGTTTGCGCTAGTTTCAAGTCAGCTTCAGCAGCAGCTCGAAGTGCTTCCCAAATCTCTGGTTTTCAGTAATTTTAACTCAGTTTCCAAAAGATTCATAGTGCAATGCAGCAGATTACAAGAAGAGAGAGAGATATATACCTCTTTGACCACCATAGTGTGGAGAAGTGTCCCAAAATTCCTCACGCATATTAGTAAGTTGTGCCCTTGTGATTGGCTCAGTATGTGCCCACGGTTTAGGTTTCCTGATTTTCTTCCTTTTCACTGTGTCAAACATACAAATTCACAAACAAAACTCATAAGAGAATGATACAATATAAACAAGCACCAATCCTAAAACAGTTCTTTCAGTAACACCAATACTAAAGGCAAAGCCATCTACTTCAGAAAATCATCACAATTTCAAATTCATCAAGACAACAAAAGCAGTAGAAGGCAGAACAGAAAAATCAGATGCTATTGTCTACTGTTCATAGAAAAAAATTTCAATATTAGTAAATGGCCATTTCAATCCCACCATTGGTAACAACTTTCTCTGATCAAACATTCTAATTCTCTGCTAATCGGAACTAAAAGACACAAATGTGGTGAATCCGCTTCAACATTTTCAATCTTAACGAAATTACCAAGCAAGATTAGCAAGTCCCTAAAATGAGATTTCGTTCAAAATCACTCCAAGAATCATAAAATTTGCAAGATTAGTACACATTAACATCTAAAAACTAAGAAATCTTTCGAAATCTCTTCAAAAATCACAACGTTACAACACAAAGTATAAATCGTAGTCCAAATTCTGTGAACATGAACGAACAAACTCTACGAAATTCAGACGAACGGAGAGCGAATTTAAAGGTTAAATGAGAATCGATTCCACTAACCTCCGCCTTCATTTATGGCCTGAGAAGATCCGATACAACCCATTCTCGAACCGTTGAGAGCGGCGTTTGATTAGGTCAAAATTGGAAGTCGCTTCGAACAAGTAAGTAAATCCACCGCCGGACACGAAACGGCGGTAGAATTGCCGGAGAGGTCTTCAAGAGTCACTGTCAAGAGTCGTCTTCAAGAGTCAATTCCGTTTTGACTCCGAAATTAGTTTTTTGGAGAAGAGGAAATTAGTTCTCAGATTTTATTTATACCCACTTTTAGTTGCCACGTCATACGGATAATTGCCTTCCAAGCAATAGACCTTTAGATCTGCTCTAATTTGCCTCGCCGGTCACCAGCGCTCCTCGTCGGTACTGTGAGAGGGCCCGTTGTCTTCTCTGTTCGGCTCCTTCCATCTCCCACAATTCCATCTCCCACAATTTTCTGTAAGTACATGCGGCGGATTTGCACCGTTTTTCTTCAGGTCGGAGGTATATTTGAGGCCAAATCGACGGTGGTTTGTTTCGGCTCTCCTCCTTACAACGACGACTCCATCTTCTCGGTCATCTTCCTATTTTCCATGATTGCTTGAGGACGGTGATTATGTATGAGTGAAGGCTCTCCTCGATGGCCTATCTCACATCGGGTGTGTTGCTCGCTTTGGTTCGTGGTGGTTAGATCCTCTCCGTTGCTTGCTGGGAGATTGATCTCCTTTGATGGTGGCTGATGGATTTCTGTGTTGGTGAACATGTGTTTTCTGTTGAGTTAAGCTTGATCAAAGCATAAGAGTTAGTTAACTCGGGTTAGTTAACTTGAGCTATAAGTTAGCTAACAAAAGGATATAGTTTGAGAGATTTGGAAATTATCCTTAAAGTATTTAGGAGATATCTAAATACTAAACCTAGTTGGAGTTGGATTAGGTTTATATGGGTTTTACTATATAAGAGATGCCAAGGTGTGGTAGTCCTTATGAGTTTTGTGTGAGAGAGTTTGAGAAAGAGAGAAATCATTGTTTAGTTTTGAGTTAGTTTCTAAACATCAATAAAGAGTTATTCTTATTGAATCCTTGTGTTCTTTCTTCTTTCAAATTCTATATTTGGTATCAGAGCCTTAACGTGAAAGAAATTTATCATGTCTGACGATGAAGACGAGAAGCCGACCGTAAAAGCAACGTCAAAGGAGATCGGATCCTCTGCCATAAAGTGTCTGATGCTCACCTCTTCTAATTAAACTGTTTGGGCTATGAGGATGTGAGTTGGTCTTAGGGTTAACAAGGTGTGGAACACCATAGATCCGGGGGACCTAGATGAGGAGAAGAACGATGTGGCAATAGCTTTATTGTTCCAATCTATACCAGAGGCCTTGACTTTACAAGTTGGAAAACACACCACTGCTAAAGCAACTTGGGATGCAATAAAAGGAAGACACGTTGGAGCTGAGAGAGTTAGAGAGGCTAGGTTACAAACTTTGATGGCGGAATTTGATAGAATCAAGATGAAGGAGACAGATTCAATTGATGCTTTTGTAGGGAAACTTTCGGAGATCTCTTCTACAGCAGCATCCCTTGGAGAAACCATTGAAGAACCAAAGCTTGTGAAAAAATTTCTCAAGAGTTTGCCTCGAAAAAAATACATCCATATCATCGCAGCTCTTGAACAAGTTCTTGATTTGAACAAAACGACTTTCGAAGACATTGTTGGACGTTTAAAAGTGTATGAAGAGAGGATTGTTGATGAAGATGAAGAGCAACAAGAGGATCATAATAAGCTGATGTATGCAAATTCAGACTCACAAGCATCTTATACTGAAGGATACAGAGGAAGAGGCAGAGGAGGTCGGTTTAATTGGCGAGGTAGAGGCCGCAGACGTTTTAACAACTATCAAAACGGTTCATACAGACAAAAGGAAAGAGATGCGTCAATGATAACGTGTTATCGATGTGATAAACTAGGGCATTATGCATCGGATTGTCCCGATAGACTGCTTAAGTTACAAGAAACTGTTGAAAAGAAGGATGAAGCAACACAAGAAGCTGATGAATTAATGATGCATGAGGTGGTTTATCTTAATGAAAATAAAGTAAAACCAAGCTGTTTTGAAGCCGATCTAGACACAAAAAATGTATGGTACCTTGATAATGGTGCAAGCAACCATATGTGTGGCAATAGGTCTTTCTTTTTGGATCTTGATGATACAGTCATGGGAAAGGTGCGTTTTGGAGATGATTCTCGCATTGATATCAAAGGTAAATGGTCAATTCAGTTCGTATTTGGAGATGGAAAGGGAAAGGTGCTTAAAATTTTGAAGAATGTATACTTTATACCGGATTTGAAGAGCAATATTGTTAGTCTTGGTCAGGCGACAGAAGCAGGGTGTGAAGTGCGAATGAAAGAAGATTTTTTAACTCTTTATGATCGGTCTGGACATCTGCTGGTGAAGACAACAAGGTCCAAGAATCGTCTATACAAGGTCATATTAGAAGTTGAAAATCTCAAATGCCTACAATTGATGTCACCAACCGAGTCAACTATGTGGCATTCACGGCTTGGACACACTAACTTGGAAACAATGAAGATGATGATTAACAAAGAATTGGTAACTGGTATACCAAAGTTCACAGTTGATAAAGAAACGTGTGTATCATGTCTACTTGGGAAGCAAACGAGGAAGCCCTTTCCGCAAGCAACTTCTTATCGAGCAAATCAAAATCTTGAACTCATTCATGGAGATCTATGTGGGCCAATTACACCTTCCACTCCGGCTAAAAAGAAGTACGTTTTCGTACTCATTGACGATCATTCACGTTATATGTGGACAGTTCTCTTAAGAGAAAAGAGTGAGGCATTTGAAAAATTCAAAAGGTTCAAAGCAATTGTTGAGCAAGAAACAGGAGCAACAATCAAGACACTGCGAACAAATAGGGGAGGAGAATTCGTGTCAAAAGAGTTTCAAGCTTATTGTGATGAACATGGCATCCAAAGACACTTGACTGCACCCTACTCTCCTCAGCAAAACGGTGTTGTTGAAAGACAAAATAAAACTCTTTTGGAGATGACTAGAAGTGTTCTTAAACACATGAGCTTGCCAAATTCTTTATGGGGAGAGGCTGTGAGACACACCACCTATTTGATTAATAGGATTACAACAAGATCATTAACTGAAATGACTCCATATGAAGTGTTTAAAAGGAAGAAACCAAATCTTGGACATCTTAAAGTATTTGGCTGCATTTGTTACGCAAGAACAGAGACTGTTGGGAGAAAGAATCTTGATGACAGGTCAAGAATGTTAGTACATCTCGGAACAGAGCCTGGTACAAAAGCCTATCGATTATATGATCCTACAACTAAGAAGATAGTTGTGAGCCGTGATGTTATTTTTGATGAAAGCAAAGCTTGGATCTGGAACAGAGGAGAAAGAGAAGTTCATAAAACCTCCAGAACCTTCTTTATTAGCTTGGGAGAATTTGGTAATAAAGGCATAAGAGACATTGAAACAGGGGAAGGTACAAGGATCACTCAAGCTGCGGATGAAAATTTGATAGAGGTCGAAGATGATACAGAAGAAGAAGAGAATGGTGATGCTCCGAGTAATGGAGACAGTGGTGATGATGAAAGGGAACAAACACCACCACCGCCGCTGAGAAGATCAGAAAGGCTAAGAGTAAAGCCTGCATATTTGAATGATTACGTCCTTCTCGCTGAAACAGAGTGTGAAAAACTTCTGATGGTAATCAATGAAGAGCCTTGGGACTTTAGCGAAGCCAGAGAACTGAAAGTGTGGATAGATGCTTGCAAAGAAGAGCTTTCATCAATAGAGAAGAACAAGACATGGAACTTGACTAGTCTCCCCATAGGAGTTAAGCCAATTGGCTTAAAGTGGGTCTTCAAAATAAAAAGAAATGCAGATGGGAGTGTTAACAAGTATAAGGCACGTCTAGTCGCCAAAGGGTATGTTCAGAGACACGACATTGATTTTAACGAGGTGTTTGCTCCTGTGGCACGTATTGAAACTGTTCGGTTCATTATCGCTTTGGCGGCTTCTAATGGCTGGGAAATACATCACCTCGATGTTAAGACTGCATTTTACATGGAGAGTTAAAAGAAGAGGTTTACGTTAGTCAACCTAAAGGATTTGTTGTTTCGGGTACTGAAAATAAGGTCTATAAATTGAACAAAGCTCTTTATGGCTTAAGACAGGCGCCTAGAGCCTGGAATGACAAGTTAAACACAATTCTCAGAGAATTCAAGTTTCATAAGTGCTCAAAGGAACCATCACTTTATCAACGAGAAGAGAAAGGACATCTACTTATTGTGGCAGTGTATGTAGATGACTTGCTTGTTGCAGGCTCCTCTTTAAAGTTGATTCGGGAATTTAAGAGAGAGATGGCAACAAAATTTAAGATGAGTGACCTTGGAAAGTTGACTTATTACTTAGGAATTGAAGTGCATCAACATGAAGGTGGCATTAGTCTCAAGCAAGAAAGGTATGCAGAAATTTTTTTGGGAGAAACAGGAATGGAAGGCTGCAATCTATCTCATGTTCCAATGGAGATGAACCTACAATTGTCTAAGTCTCAGAATGAGAAGGGTATTAATGAGAAAGATTATAGAAGAAGTATTGGCTGCCTTCGTTTCTTGATTCACACTCGTCCGGATCTCTCTTATAGTGTTGGTGTCTTGAGCAGGTATATGCAAGAGCCCAAAGAATCCCATGGAGCAGCATTGAAGCAAGTCTTGAGGTACATACGTGGAACCACCTCTCTTGGTCTCTTGTTCAAACGGACAGAGAAGATAGATTTGATGGGCTATAGTGATAGCTCGCACAATGTTGACTTAGACGATGGTAGAAGTACAACGGGTCACATTTTCTTCCTCAATGATTTGCCTATTACTTGGTGTTCTCAAAAGCAAGAAACCATGGCGATGTCTTCCCGTGAAGCTGAATTTATGGCGGCTACAAAGGCTGCAAAGCAAGCTATATGGCTTAAAGAGTTGTTGAGTGAAATACTAAACATTGAAGGGAAGAAGGTCTTGTTGAGAATCGACAACAAATCGGCTATAGCTTTGACAAAGAACCCGGTGTTTCATGGAAAAAGTAAGCACATACATAGAAGATATCATTTCATTAGAGAATGTGTTGAGAATGAGCAAGTAGAGGTAGAGCACGTTCCCGGCAATGAGCAAAAGGCGGACATCCTAACAAAGCCACTTGGTAGAATCAAGTTTAAGGAGATGAGAGGATTTATTGGAGTTCAAGATGTGAAGAAAGAAGACTTCAAGCTTAAGGGGGAGAATGTTGAGTTAAGCTTGATCAAAGCATAAGAGTTAGTTAACTCGGGTTAGTTAACTTGAGCTATAAGTTAGCTAACAAAAGGATATAGTTTGAGAGATTTGGAAATTATCCTTAAAGTATTTAGGAGATATCTAAATACTAAACCTAGTTGGAGTTGGATTAGGTTTATGGGTTTTACTATATAAGAGATGCCAAGGTGTGGTAGTCCTTATGAGTTTTGTGTGAGAGAGTTTGAGAAAGAGAGAAATCATTGTTTAGTTTTGAGTTAGTTTCTAAACATCAATAAAGAGAGTTATTCTTATTGAATCCTTGTGTTCTTTCTTTTTTCAAATTCTATATTTTCCTCTTCTCCAACTTCGATTTTGGCTCCTTTCGCTTGGTTGTGCTTTTTCGGTTATAGTTTTTGCTTCTTTGTCCCAGTGTTGTTTTTCCATTGCTCGACGCGGTATTGCTACGGTGGTATGATGGTCAACCACGCTGGCTAGTGGTGCGGCTAACGGTGCCTTTTTTCCGGAGAAGCTGCGACGTTTCTGTTGTGGTGGATCCGATGTGGCTTGGACGGATTCTTTGTTTTGAGACCAATGGCGAGAGCCCCTAGATTTTCCAGCGAAGCTGCAGTTGTAATTGTCGTGGCGGGGTTGATGTGGCTCGTAGTTACTTTGGACATAAGCTGAAGCGAAGCTGGTTCTCCATTGACCTTGGCTCTAGTGTTGTAGCTCGAGTTTTCTTTGCTGCCGGGTTATACAATTTCGAAGTGTGTATCTCCGAGGTGGTGGCACTTATTGGTGTAAGTTCTTTGGCGCAGCGTACGAACCGGATAGATCAGCTCAACCAAGGGATTTGTTAAAATCCTCGCTTGGGACCTGCTTCTCGTGAGATGAAGTTAATCAAATCTACACAAGGCTTCTTGTCTGATGAATTTAATCGAATCAAGAACAAGGAAGAAGAGAAATCTCTCTATTATTAATATTCTCAAAAAAAGCTGCCCTCTAATAACTTATGATAAACGTTTAAATAAGAAGTTGGAAACTAAAAACCCTAGACTAGTGAAGAAGACGAAAGCAATAAAAAAACACTTAAAGCCCAACACCATAATAATGCCCAAAACCAATAAACACACGTTCTTTTCTTGACTTCCAAGTCACGATCCCGCTGCATCATTCTTTCAACATGGTTTGTTTGTACAGGTGAAAGATGATATTTGCGCACGGAAAAGCTGTAGGCCCGTACGTCAGAGGATTTGAGGGCGCTTCTCGGCTGCGTGGAAAATCCGATTGAATTGGGAATCTTCCTCCTCCAACAATGCTAATTCCATTGTTTTTCTCTTGTTTTGCCGTGTACTTTTGTAATGTTGTTTGTTTGTAGATTTTGTTTTTTTTTGTTTCCTTTCCTGAGTTTCCGTGTTTACCAAAAATTGGTATAATAAATCTTCACATATTTATCAAAAAAAACCGAGAAAAACGAATTAGATCAGAAGTAGATTATGGTTGATTGTCAACCTTGTCGAATCTTTTGAACCAACTAAAAGTTCCAAAATAAACAATTATGCAAAAAGTTTGTCAATAAAAAAAATCTGCATAATCGCATTACAAAACACCAAAACGTAGGATTTATGTTTTCACATAAAAAACAGAAGTAAAAGCTCATTATGCAAATAAATGGGTATATCGTTGTTTATTTTGCATAAACAGAAGTAAAAAGAAAAAACTAACACATCTACCACATTTTCCCCAAAACTTTCCAAATGTACCACATTTGGAATTGTCTTTCCAATCCTACCACATTTGGTTTGTGGAGTTACAATTTTACCCTCTCTTGTTGAAGCAATTTTCGCGTTCCACGATGCAACGATTTGACTTCTCTTTAACTGTTTTGCTTTCCTATTTATCTCTCATCCCTCGGGACACGTGCGCTTTAACAGAGAAACATTATCTCTCATGAGATTAAACAATTAACTTTCGGTTTTGTCTCGAAATCTTGTCTTCGATTGGAAATTTTCTGTTGCGTCTAGATCTTGTCCCCGATTTAATCATCCTGCTCTATTATCATGAATCTCACATCTTGTCCACCAATTGTTCTCGTTTAAAAGTTTTGAATTTTATATAGATTTCACATCATCTATTCTGGTCCACAGATTCGTTGAGCACTATTGTCTTCACCTACCCGGATTATTGAACTTTTTTTCCTTCTATTGCGGAATAACAGAAAGATCTAGTTGTCTCCGAGTAAATCCAGATTTTTGGCGGACAAAACTACACCATCTGGCGATGGACAATCAAGAGAATTAGATGATAAAAATCATCATGCTCAATTTTTGATCTAATTATATTACTCATTCGATTTGAACTTGTCCCCGATCTAATTATATTACCCATTCGATCATAACTTGTCTCCGATCTAATTCTACACATTTAGATCTGGGTTTCTTCTCATATAAACTTGTCCCGATCTAATTCTATTACTCATTTGATCTGAACTTGTCCTCAATCTAATTCTGGTACTCATTCGATATGAACTTGTCCCCAATCTAATTATATTACTCATTCCATATGAACTTGTCGCCGATAGAATTATATTACTCATTCGATCTGAACTTGTCCATGATCTACTTTTATTACTCATTCGATATGAACTTGTCTTTGATCTAATTATATTACTTATGCGATATGAACTTGTCCCCGATCTAATTATATTACTCATTCCATATGAGCTTGTCCCCGATATAATTATATTACTCATTCGATCTGAACTTGTTCCCGATCTAATTAATTATATTACTCATTCCATATGAACTTGTCTCCGATATAATTATATTACTTATTCGATCTGAATTTGTCCCCGATCTAATTATATTACTCATTCCATATGAACTTGTCTCCGATTTTAATTTAATATTATCTAATATATTAAGAGAACAATTGTAAACGTGCAGCATTAAATGCAGACTGCTCCCTCTTGTCCCAAGTTGTCCCTTTCTCTGACACACACTTCTCTCTCCATCAAGGACAATTTCGTCCGGATTTAGGCATGTGGCAACAAAATGTGGTACATTTGGAAAGCTTTTCTCAAATGTGGTAGATTTGGAATGCCTCATTATGGAACTTATACCATTTTTCAAAAAAATATTTTAAATTTTAAATTTCACAACATTTTAACAACTTTTAATATTTATATTTTTACTATCAAATATTAATTAAAAATTATTAAAAATACTGGTGGTATAATAGTATATTTTGTCATTACGTAAAATGATCCAATCAATATACTTTTTAAAGTAATTTCATTCTGCGATTTTTTCTTTTTGCAAGTTTATTTATGCAACTTATATTATTATGCGTTTATGCAGTGGTACCAATCGGAACCAACATTTTTAAATTGACCCATCGACTTTGGTACTTTAATTCTTTAGTTGTCAGATGAGTTAAATAATTTTAGGCTTAACTTAAAGTATAAAGAGGATCTTTTTATTATTAGCGCATGAAGCAGTTAAACATTCCTCAGGAATGACTCTTTTGAGTTCTAATTAATTGCGGATGACAAAAAAAAGAAGCAGTTAAACATATTGAGTTAAACATATTGAGCCGCCCTGGTTATAAGCAGAACCAATGTTCAAGAAAGCGCTAAGCGCTAAGCGGACAGTGACCTAGCGCCTAACGTCTAAAACGTTTAATCGGAGGCTAGACAATTTTAGGTAGTTAAACATTTAAAACATAAATAAAATCATATAAAACTATCTACTAGAAAAATAAAAATATTAAATCATGAACAATAATTAGACTAAAACATTTAATTAATTTATATCAAACAATATGTATGAAGTTAAAACTTATAATATAAATTTATGTAGTTGGAAATTGAAAAAATAGATTCAAACGAAACTTATGGAATTTTAAGTGGCGGAAACGATTGTCTACACGTCATTTGAACATCTAGCGTCTAGATGGAGTCTATAAACCGCTTAAACCGCGAGTAGACTATTTTAAAATTTAAACTAATGGAGTAATGGACTATGATTAATATATATTCTATTGATCTGTATAAATGGTGTAATCTGCCACGATGAGCTGGTTGTGTCGGTAAGGGCAATATATTAGTGGCATCGGTTGACTGGCTAATTCATTAATATATATATATCTCCGATATTAACAAGGAACTTTACCCTCTCATGAGAAACTTACAAACTTGTGCCTTATCAATATTTCGACTTGTACCAACAAAAAGAACTCAAGCAGATCTTCCAGATCCACTAATGGACCAACAAAGGGAGAGAGTGAAGCAATTCTGCAATCATCCGTTAAGATACGGTAGAATGAAGCTGGACAGAGTGATTACAGATCGGTCAAATAACTGCGATGGATGCGGTGATGATTCTGGCTACGGATATTACTGTGATAGCTGCAATATTCAAGCTCATGTGGCTTGCATAGGTTGGCCAGACATCATCAACCACCCCTGTCACTCGAGACATCCTCTCAAGAAAGTCTCACCTGAGACAATTGACTATACTGATGGTAAATGCCAGTTTTGTAGAAGCCCACTTGTTGATCTCATGTATCATTGTTCCATATGTAATTTCAGTGTAGATCTGAGATGTTGGTTAAACCCCGCACCGCTTACTATATATAAGCAAAAGAGCCACAACCATACATTAACCCTCATGGCGAGAAAGGACTCCTTCACTTGTAACGCATGCGGGTTGGTTGGTGACCGTAATCCTTACGTTTGTCTTCAGTGTGATTACATGCTGCACAAAGGTTGTATCAATTTGCCCCGAGTCATAAACATAAATCGTCATGACCACAAGATTTATCGCACTTATCATCTCGGTCACGGCGATTGGGAATGTGGAGTTTGTCGCCAAAAGATGGATTGGACCCTTGGAGCTTTCTCTTGCTCGCTTTGTCCTAATTATGCTGTTCATTCAAAGTGTGCGACAAGGGAAGATGTGTGGGATGGAAAAGAACTCGAAGATAAGCCTGAAGATAAGGAAGAAGAAGATCCATACAAGGTAATAAATGAGAAAGAAATCATTCATTTTAGTCATGAAGAACATAATCTAAGACTTGGTGATGATGACAATGCTGCCCATTATGAAAAGATGCGGTGCGATGCTTGCATCATGCCAATCAATTCTGATCCGTTCTTTAAATGTGTGGAATGCGAGTTCTTCCTTCATAAAGTATGTGCCAATCTTCCCCGGAAGAAACGAAATATCCTGCACAACCACAAGCTTGCTCTAGTAGTGTATAACGATGCGGATGGCAAGCATTTCAAGTGTACATATTGTCTTCAACATTTCGATGGCTTCGGGTACAAATGCCGTTCTTACTACATGTGTCTCAATTTGAGAATTTTATCAGATATACGGTGTAGTTCCATTTCTGAGCCTTTTCAGCATGAACTGCATCCCCATCCCTTATTTCGTACCTCGAACGAGCCGAAGACTTGTGGAGCATGTGGTGAAGATTCGGAGTATGTCTTAAGCTGTATTGTTTGTCAGTTCACCTTAGGCATGGAGTGTGCCACTTTACCAAGAAAAGTGAAACACAGATGCGACGATCATGTTTTATCGTTGCATCATGGTGCTGGAAGGTCCAACGGTCAATTGTGGTGTGATATTTGTGAGGGAAAGACAGATCCAAGCGTATGGTATTATAGTTGTGATGATTGTGGGGTCACTCTCCATATCAACTGTGTCCTTGGGGACATGAATTACTTCAAGCCAGGGAACAAATACTTGGGAGGTGAACTAGTTCCCAACGATGGTATGACTAGACCTTTTTGCATAGTTTGTGAAAAGCGTTGCATGTTTCCTTTCTTTTTAAAGGGTATTGGTTATTCAGATTCAACTGTTGTATACGCTTGTTCGAGAAAGTGTGCATACCGAGGCCACGACCGTTGGGAGGAGTGGTATGATAAAGTTAACTGTGAGTAATGAGTATGTCTGAAAGATCCACAAGGCACAGAAAACCCACCAAACTCCTATTTGAGGAAAGGGGAAGCTATATGATGTATCATAGTATATTTACGTTTGCTTGATATCTTCTGTATCATTTTTATCTCATTTTCTTTCTTTACATGTATTTGGGATTCTTCTAGAATCTGAGTTAATTTGACAATTTGTATTTGGATCCTGTTGAAACCTGTGTGAGGGGTTTGGTTTATAAATAGGATCTGTTTGCTTCTATGTAATGCAGTATTTTTTTTTTAATAATAACAACAGAGGAATGATTATCTTCAGTTCCTTTAAGTTTCATGCAGCACATCCTTATCGTGTCACACAAGTTTAAACATTTTCTATTTTCTTCTTGGTTGCTTTTCCTTTTCTCTGCAGTTTTCTATTTCTCTTGGATTTTACTTCTATTTCTCTACAGAGAGTGTCTACTACTAATATACCATTTCTATTCACTATCAATTGCAAAAAGTATTGAATATGAGAGACTTACTTCAGATTCTAGTTCTCTTCTACTACTTACTAAGTATTGTGTCAATGTTCTTGGAAGTTACTGTCCCTCCTCTCGAATCAGATTCGTGGGCTCACTTAGGCCATCTCCAACGGGTATGTTTTGCAAAGTCTCTCTTTATTAAAATAAAGAAAAAAATAGGAAAAAGAGGAGAGAGGGAGAGAATCGTCGCTCTTTTGGGAGACTTTAAGAAACGTTTCTCACAGATGTCCTACTATAATTAGTCTAACTAAAATATTTATTAATAAAATATGAATTTATTTGTGTTCACATTTAAAAGTTGTGTTCACACATATATGAGAAACTGAAATAGAGAGACGAGCGTTGGTGATGCTCTTAGAACATACCTAGGAAGCTCATATCTAGCACCTGCATTTGAGTAAGAACATTAAACTATTAAAGTAAGGTAACGAAAAAAGAAACTGCATCAGATTGTGTTTTGCAAACCTCTTTCATCCCAACACAATGTTAGGTCACGGTTCTGGACAATCACACCAGCACTGTCAACAATAGTTTGCGCTAGTTTCAAGTCAGCTTCAGCAGCAGCTCGAAGTGCCTCCCAAATCTCTGGTTTTCAGTAATTTTAACTCAGCTTCCAAATGCAGATTACACGAAAGAGATATAAATATATATATATATATATATACCTCTTTGACCACCATAGTGTGGAGAAGTGTCCCAAAATTCCTCACGCATATTCGTAAGTTGTGCCCTTGTGATTGGCTCAGTATGTGCCCACGGTTTAGGTTTCCTGATTTTCTTCTTTTTTACTGTGTCGAAAATACAAAACTCATAAGAGACTGATACAATATAAACAACGACCAATTCTAAAACAGTTCTTTCACTAAGACCAATATTAAAATCCATCTACTTCAGAAGATCATCACAATTTTAAATTCATCAAGACAACAAATGCAGTAGAAGGCAGAACAGAAAAATCAGATGATATAGTCTATTGTTCATAGAACAAAATTTCAATATTAGTAAATGGCCATTTCAATCCCACCATTGGTAACAACTTTCTCTGATCGAACATTCTAATTCTGAGCAGTAGAAAAATGTTCAAGAGCATTCTAATTCTCTTCTGATTGGTGAATTAGCTGCAACATTTGAAACCTGAGACTTCGTTAAAAAATCCCTCCACGCAAGAATCACAACATTACAACACCAGAATAAACTGAGATTTCGTTCAAAAACTAACAACTCTTTCGAAATCTCTCTAAGAATCTCAACGTTACAACACAAAGTATAAATCGTAGTCCAAATTCTGTGAACATGAACGAACAAACTCTACGAAATTCAGACGAACAGAGAGCGAATTTAAAGGTTAAATGAGAATCGATTCCACTAACCTCCGCCTTCATTTCTGGCATGAGAAGATCCAATACAACCCATTCTCGAACCGTTTGATTAGGTAAAATTGGAAGTCGCTTCGAACAAGTAAGTAAAATGTCAGTACAAAATCGACCGCCGGGGACGAAACGGCGGTAGAATCGCCGGAGAGTCGTCTTCAAGAGTCAATCCCGTTTTGACTCCGAAATTAGTTTGTTAGAGAAGAAAGTCAAACAGATCTCTCCGATATTTATAATTGCCACGTCATATTATTTCGGATTAGTATATAATATTTGGAATAATTAAACGTCAGCGTCTGTAGTCCAACGGTTAGGATAATTGCCTTCCAAGCAATAGACCCGGGTTCGACTCCCGGCAGACGCATTTAGTTTTGGTTTTTCTTTTTGCTTTGGAAACAAATAACATTAAAGATAAAAGACAATAGTAAATGACGCCTCAGTTTTATCGAAGCAATGATCTTAATTAGATCAGAACGCGTGAGAAGGGCGTTTTAGTAATTTTCGGTAAAACAAATGCTAGATTTTTGTGATAAAGACAGTACACAAGTCCTTTCTCTTTCTCGTTTGATATTTTCCAATTCCGCGTCTTTCTTTCTCTGTTGAAATCGAAAAGATCTTGCAAGTTTCAAATCTCATTAGGGTTTTTCATTTTGAGAAAAAAAAGGAACCATTTTTATCTCTCTGTTTTGTTTTCTCGAATCTGAAGGAGTAAAGTTAAAAGCTTCGAAGGAGAGAATCAATGGCGGGTTACAGAGCAGATGATGAATACGATTACCTATTCAAGGTTGTTCTGATTGGTGATTCGGGTGTGGGCAAATCCAATTTGCTTTCACGATTCACCAAGAACGAGTTTAGCCTCGAGTCTAAATCCACGATCGGCGTTGAGTTCGCGACTCGGAGTTTGAATGTTGATGATAAAGTCATCAAAGCCCAGATTTGGGATACTGCTGGTCAAGAAAGGTCTCATCTTTTTCAACCACATTGTTCATTTCTCGATCTGGTTTCTTTGATTAGGAAAGTTTTGAGCTTTATGGTTTGTTTGATTGCCGATGAAAGTAATTTTAGAGCTTAGGTTGTTAGATCTGTGTCAATTGATTTAGATCCATTGGTTTTGACAAGAAGAGATCTGGATTGGTATGTGATTTTGAAATTTAGATACGATTATGATTAAAAAGTTTTTAGCTTTATCTAATTTCTTCTCTTTGCTAATTTAGTTTATGTAAGAGAGCCTGATTGGTTTCAGTTGCTTCATTTCTACGATTCCTAGCTTTTTCTTTCTCAGATTTATCGGTCTCTTGGATCACTGTCTTGAAGCTTTGCTTAGTCAGATTTCTTCTCTTGTTTTTGCTTGTTTATGTATGAGTGATTGGTTTCAGTTGGATTCTTAATTTGAAGCTTTACTTGGTCTTAATTTCGAAATTGAAAAGCTTCGAAGCGTACATAGTCTGCATTCGAAACTGAAAAGCTTCTTGCTTTTTTATGATTTTGTAGTCGGTTCTTCTTCGTATTAGCTATGTTCTGATGTTTTTGGTTAACTTTAATTCTCAGTTTCGTTAACAATGTTTGAATAGGTACCGAGCCATCACTAGTGCGTACTATCGAGGAGCTGTTGGAGCGCTTCTTGTCTACGATGTGACCCGACACTCAACATTTGAAAACGTTGAGACATGGCTGAAAGAACTCAGAAACCACACTGATCCAAACATTGTAGTCATGCTAGTGGGCAACAAATCTGATCTCCGTCATCTCGTGGCTGTTCAGACAGAAGATGCGAAATCATTCGCCGAGAAAGAATCTCTTTACTTCATGGAAACCTCAGCTCTCGAAGCCACCAATGTTGAGAATGCTTTCGCGGAAGTACTCACTCAGATTCACCACATTGTGAGTAAGAAGGCAATGGAAGCTGCAAGTGAATCCGCTAATGTTCCATCGAAAGGAGACAAAATCGATATCGGTAAAGATGTTTCCGCTGTGAAGAAAGGTGGATGCTGCTCAAACTAATAAGAGAGTAGAATTATTGTTAACGACCTGAGGATCGGTTTTTGTTAACGGTTCCTATCGAATATGAAGATTGCTTTTAGATTGAGTTATGACCATTTGGTGTATTTCTGTTACTTATATAAATTTATCAATGTTATTGTTTGAAAATGCTTTGTCAAATTTTCATAACCCTAAATTATATCATCTCAAACAATAGGATTGTTGAAAAGAAAGATAAAAGATTCAGCCTTTGATGATTTCAGTTCGGTTTAATTTCATTGTATCGGTTCAATTTGCTTAAGTTAAAATCTGTTCGGTTCGATTTTTTTTTTTTCTTTCCAATCAAACACCATATATTAAGTCACGGAAAAAGACTCTCTTCTAAAGAGAGCCAAATAGGTACCGTCGAACTTACATGAGAAAAACAAAACTCGCAACTTTTTGCACATTTCGCAAAATAGTCGGCGAAAGTATTTCCACTACGAGAGATATGCATAATACTAAAAGTCTAAAAGTAGAAAATAAAGCCTTATAAAACGCAAAATCCTTCAACTTTATAGAAAAAGTAGGCCACTCTTCGGGGTTGGTAGTCATCACTAAAAGATCAGAGCAATCTGTCAACATGAGAATACTCGTCATAGAGATCGCCAATAAGCACTTCATCGACCACAAGAGAGTCTCCAATTCTGCATAAAGGGGTGAAAGACTTCTACGCGAACTTTTTAATCCTACAGCAATCGAGTTTTGAAGTAACAAAACCGAATGGTTTATGAAAATATCCGGTTTAATTTTGGTATAAACGGTTTGGTTCGGTTCGGTTAGCTTTTTTTGTCTATCCCTATTTTGTGCAGCAATCGCAGGAGAAACTCACTCACAGTTAATGGCAATGGCAATGGAGGAGCCACGGAAGCTGAGAGGCCACAAATCAACTGCCACTTGTTGTATAGCTTCACGTGATCGGCCTGGTCTTGTTCTCACTTCCGGCGAGGTTTCTAAATCTCTACTTCAAATCTCTTTCTTCCGATGAATTTAGGGCTTCGTTTTTGTTGTTACTTGGCAAGATTCATAGTTTCCGATCATTCTGATTATAGGATGGTTGCGTTTGCTGGTTTGATTTACGGTGTAAAGATGTTCAATTCATTATCGACGTTGGAACAGAACCGGTTTCATCTTTTTGTTTCAAGACAGGTTCTTGTCTCTTTGTGTGTGTGTCTCTCTCTCTCTCTCAATTTCATCTCTTTGTTTCCATTTGGTGATAACTTTGAATTGGTTTCAGGTAATGAGAACATTCTCTATGCTTCTCATGGAAACGATATCAAGTCTTTCGATGTTCATACGGTAATTCAAAAATCGAAACTTTGATAAACTGTAAACAAATTTCTTCACTCAGTTAAAAGCTCGTCTCTTTCTGCTATTTCATAGCTGAGTGCTAATTCATGGAAGCCATTAGAGAGTTTTAGTTACAACAAAGATGAAGTAAACCAGGTAGAGATACTAAAAAACTCAGACTTTTCGAAAAGTTGTCATATTTACCTATGAAATCGATGTTGATATCTTTTGAGTTTCTTGATTTGTTAAAGGTAGTATGCAATGGAAAATCATCTTTTCTTGCTTCTGCAGATGATTCTGGTGATGTTAAGGTTCAATAGTTGTTTTTGATACTTACAGATTACATAACATGAATTTTTGTGGGACTTTTCTCGGTTTGATAAGTTTGCTCGAACACAGATCATCGACATTGGTCAAAAATGCCTTTATAAAACCCTTAGAGCTGGTCATACAAGTGTATCCTTGCTCCCTTGCGTCTATGTAATTCTATGAGTCTCGAAAAAATCTCTCAAGTCAACACCTTAATGTGACATTTAAGATATGTAGTTCTGTACAATTCATTCCATGGAGACCTTGGGAAGGTAACTAACATCTTAATGTGATTTGTTATTATATAAACACATCTTTTCTAAAATGTCTAATTTCTTTCAGTTATAACTGGTGGACTTGATTCAAAGCTTGTTTTATGGGATTTCTCAAAAGGTCGCTCGCAAAAGATTATAGACTTTGGTAAAGACTATGCCACTGATTCGAGTATCTTTAGCCATATATATATGCAACAAATCTGATTTTGCGAGTTATTTGTGGTAACTTTCAGGGTCTGATACACAAAGCAACTCAGGACAATGCCTAAACCCTGCGTTTGTTCACTCGATAGCAATCCCTGAAATGGACATGGTTGATAAGTTAGGCAAGATATGCGTGGTTGCTAGAGGTGATGGAATTGTCGATTTGATCAATATCGAATCAGAACTTTCCCGAAAAGGAACATCATCAAAAGGAAGTAGCAGCAGCAACAATGTGATCAAAAGGGTTTGTTTAGACTACTCTGTTGGTGGACACAATGCTGCTGTTTCTTGTGTAGCGTTTTCTCTGTTTAAGGAGAAAGGTAGATTCTTGATCTCAGGTGGTAATGATAAGACAGTCAAAATATGGGATTGCTTTAAATGTCTTGATCCAGACAACAACAACAATAACAGAGATTTCCTCCATTTGAATATTAACTTAAGCAAGAAGGTAACTAAAGGTCACATTGTTCTTCTGCTCTTTCTCTTTTGTCTGATTCTGACACTTAATTGGGGTTTTTTTCTTAAACAGGTGAATTGGCTTTGCACGAATCAATCTGATTCTGAGAATCTTGTTGTCTGTGACACAACGAGAGTAGTTAAGGTTTACTCAATCTCTTAAATAGGCCGTATGGGACCATAAAAGATTCATCTTTATTTTGGACATTGGTATTATAAGTGGAGTTTCTCAAGTGGTTGCTTGATCTACAAGTTAGTTTATTTGTTCTTGACAACCAAATTATAAAGACAGAACCGGCTTCTAAACCAACAACAATACTTGGATCAAAATGCTATATGAACTTACTATATTGGTGTTGCTTTATATGATTTTATTTTGTTTCATTGAATTATATTTGTCTAAAATTATTACGCTTTTTAAGATGTTTACTTGAATTAAAAAAAAAACAAATTTTGTTGATAAAAGATCTCATGATTATTTAATTTTTGAATTGTTAAATTCTTTTACTATCATCAAATTTATTACGTACCATTTGCTTGTTTTATACTTTTTGTGTGTTTATATTCAACTTCTCCCTGTCAGATTTTTCTTGTTGTCCTCATTTACACAATTAAGACTTTGTTACGAAGTTAAAATCCAATTTATTTTTCAATAAATTATGTTATAATCATAACAAAAATACATAAATCCAAAAAATAACCTACCATTCTAACAATCTAAGCTTGGAGCAACAAGTAATTTTTTTTGGATACTATGGAGAGACTTTGGAAAAATAACAAATCAAACACTTCCCTCTTAAAAGTAAAGAAGTCTCTAAACTGTCACAACCTACAAGACCCTTCTTTCAAATTCCAACCTTTCCAACATTCCTCTTCTGTCCACTATGAAACCGCAGCAACCGCAACCGTCATTGCTCCTCCTCCTCATCCTACTTCTCTTAGCCACCGTCTCCGCCTCTCCACTACACCCAAAACAGCTCAAATCTCTCCAATCTTTAAACATCTCTACACCAACCAATGATCCCTGCAACAACAACCAATCCTCCTCCACCTCCATAACTTGCGACAACGCTTCTCCTTACCGCCACATTACCTCTCTTTCCTTCACAAACTGCTCCTCCACTCTATCTCTCCCCTCCAAAACCCTCAAACCACTGTCAAAATCTCTCCTCTCTCTCTCCTTCAACAACTGCCCTTCACTTTCTCCTCCATACCATCTCCCAATCTCCCTCCACTCCTTCTCCGCCGTCTCCTCCTTCCTCCACAACAACCATACCCGCCTCTCCGGCCTCTTCCTCGCTCGTCTCAAAAACCTCAAAACCCTCTACATTTCCTCAACCCCAATCTCAACCTCTCGTCGTCTTTATGTAATCCTCGGAAACATGCATAAACTCACTTCCCTCACAATCTCAAACTCAAATCTCTCTGGCTTTATTCCTAAATCTTTCCACTCCAATCTCACATACATCGATTTATCAAACAATTCACTAAAAGGCTCAATACGCATTTCCATTACTCGTCTCACAAACCTCAAGTCCTTAAACTTATCTCATAACTCTCTCTCCGGCCAAATACCAAACAAAATCAAAAACTTAATCTTTCTAAAAAACTTATCTTTAGCTTCAAACAGATTAACAGGAACAATCCCAAATTCACTCTCGTCAATTTCTGAACTTACACATTTGGATCTAAGCATGAATCAACTAAACGGCACGGTTCCAAGTTTCTTCTCCGAGATGAAGAATCTCAAACACTTGAATCTCGCTGATAACTCCTTCCATGGAGTTTTACCATTCAACGAAATCTTCATTAAAAATCTCAACTTTTTCGAAATTGGAGGGAACAGTGAGCTCTGTTACAACAAAACTGTTGTATCCTCGAACTTGAAATTGGAGGGTCTTGCTCCGTGTGATAAATACGGGTTTCCTTTATGGTCTCCGTCGCAAAAGGAGGAATCTTTGTCAGGAGAAAACGATTACGGCGATTACAACGGTGAAGGAGGAAATGAGAAGATGACGAAGAAGAAGGAAGAAGAAGAAGAACACAATGGTTCCAACAAGACTCTGTTTGGTCTCGGCATTGGTCTTTTTTCGATTGTGTTCTTAATCCTCTTCCTCTTTTATCTTGCTAAAAGGTGTCGTTGGATTTGAGAAGTCTGATCTTTTTGTGTGGACTTTACTTTATTAGGGTTCTTTTGAGAATAACCAGACCGGGTCTTCAAGAAATTACTATGTCCAAACCGGTACAAATCCGGTTTATGTTTTTGTTTGGTATTTTACCCTTTTCCTCCTCTAAATGTACTGTCTGTTTTGTATTTGTGAATTGTGATTATGAGTAACTGCAGTTTGTTGTGTTTGTTTTTTTTTTTTCCGACAAATCAAACATATTATATCATGAAGAGTTTACTAAGTATATAAGAGCATCTCCAATGGGAAGCTCTCTCCATGAGACTCTCTCAAATTTTTTAGTATAAATTTTGTGAAAATGTGAGATGAGAACTTTTGTTTTTTTAAATAAAAATTCATAGTTCAATGGTAGGTTCTCAAGTGGAGTTCTCTTAGAAAAAAAATGTATTAAAAATTTTAATTCATAAAACTTAATAATTATAGCAATTCATAAAATATTAAACATACATTATTTTCAAACATTTAAAAGTAGGTGTGCAAATAAAAAACCGGAATAACTATTAATGTGTTTAAGTGTTGATAAACACATTTGTTTGATTGGGACAAAGTAAAGAAATACAAGAGACAATAGAATCTTTTGTTTGATTGGTTTAACTTATCTTTTGGCTTGAGAATTCAATGCGTTTAAACGTTGTTTTGTTTGATGCTCTCTCTAGTTATACTTTTATGAAAAACTCAATTAAAATAAGACTATGATCATTAAGGAAGATGGTAATGTACATAGGAATAAGATTGTTCTAAAAAGGTTTAAAGTACCCATTACATGATTTGATGTCTTCAACAAAACTGAGTTTAGAGTAGTAATGTGGAAATAATAACCAGGAGAAATGTTTGAGTGTAGTTTCAAATCTTGCTTCTCACTCTAACCAACTTTGCTAGTGTTTCTTGAGCAGCCAATGTGAGATCATGGTTATGGCCAAGCATCACTGTCCTGATACTGATACAAGTCAAGAGCGAGCCTTGGCGCCAATATTGTATGTGAGACACAAATGATTTAGTTATTGAGAAGAAGAGGACCAACGTTATCTCCATTATTAGCTTTGTTGTGCTTCACATGACTCCCATCACACAATGGAAAGTTGGAAACGTCCCCGACCTCCAACATATAACTGCTTTTGTATAATAACTTGATGATGAGAGTTTCTAGATTAAGAGAGTTGTTAAGCAGAGATGAAAGCAATTCCCAGCAGATGAATGATGACTTATTGGAAAACAACACAAAGAAATCCTCAATCTCACCATAGTCTCTAAAACATAAAACAATATCAATCAATGTTCCAAGAAGATTAGAGATTCATTAACCTAAACCCCGAGAACAAACTTACCGAGAAATCGAACGAATCAAGTGGATGGCGCAAGAAGGGGCAGAATCAGGTGAGCTTGATGATCCTCAAGCCGTCCCTTAACAGAGTCAACTCTCCACGAATGCGTCGGAGTTCTCTACGCCGGTATGTCACCGGCGTAAGCAGGAATAAGATTCTCCTCCTCTGGAAATTCCTCTAAAGTCTTGTAAATCACATGTTCAACTCTAACACAGTCTGATTCACCAATCAAAACCATTGATTCGATCGAGAAGATGAAATCGATCGAAATTGGACGAAAATTGAGAAACCCCTAAGAGAGTGATAGAGACCTGGACACCAGCTTTGACCGGTGGTGGGATCATTGTCGGCGAGGAAGAGTATGAAACTGATCTTGCTACGATCGGTTTCAATTCTTTTGTTAAAACACAAAATACAACGAATTAAGTCATGATACACATGGGGAAGGGGCTAGATTCATACCTGGAACAAGAAATTGGACCATCCTTCAACGAATCCTTCTTCTCCATCGCCAATCTTCGATTCGTTTTGACTCCATTCGCCGATAGTCTTAACCGTCTATCTCGCTGATGATTCCGGCGGTAGGTAAGTCTCACATACCACGATTCCAGCATAGACTCATCGGAATCTCACGAAATCGGCGTTTGTTCATCAGCTTCTTTGATCGCAATCGAGAGAGAGAGAGGAGTCATGTTTTTTTTTGGTCGTGAGAAAAAACTCATGTTTTTTTTTTTTTCTTTTGTTATAACAGTCCCTCCAATTGAACACTGACACATGTCCGGCTCTCTCAAAATCTCAAAGCACTCTAAAGAGAATCGATTCTCTCTTTTTTCTTAATTTTGAATTATTTTTTTGCCAATTTCAGATGAGAACTCATCAAAACATTGAAGAGAACCCTGCATTGGAGATGCTCTAAACATTCCCAATACAACCATTGACGCAAAAATATTGTTTATTATTATAAACAAATGTCATGATAGCAAAAATATTTTATTGTGAATCAAAAATTGACTCCACAATTAAACGCATTTCGAATACAATACTTCTCAAGAAGAAAATAATGTGAAAAAGGTCTTATTTGTAGCTTGAACCACATATCCGAAGAAAACATTTCTCTTGGTTCTCCGTAGAGTGAGATTCAACTCCTTGCAAATCGATTTACTGATTCAACAACTCATCTCCGAGTGAAATTTTATACGTTCTATCGATAGTTGTGTAATTTCTCTTTTTCTTATAAATAATGAAGCTTTTCAACCGTAGATTTATCATGCTAGTTTTTGTCATTTTAGTTGTTTTACGTTTAGTTTTATCTTTTTATGTAGAATTTAGTTTGTAAAACTTTCGTACAAAATCTAAATTCTCCAAAACTATATATTACTAAAAATACTATTTAAAATTTATTTGAAATATTTCACACTAAAAGGTAGCGATATCAACAGGTGCATTAACACCATCCGAGTTAGCCTCGAGAAAATTTACGAACTCTGTTTAGATATAACCTGTCACGAAAAACTGAATTTTCTCTTTTATCTTTTGCCTCTTTTTCGTGAACCTTTTTCCTTTTATACCAAACCTTGAGTCTAAGTGACAATGCAGGAAGACTCTTCACATAGTCTATCTCTTGATCATCCATGGAAGATTGATAATGGTTCCGTCTAGAGAATAATGAGAAAAATAAACATAGACCACCAATCTTGAAGAAAAGCATCATCTTGAAACTTAGATACAAGATTTTGAAAAAGAAAAAAAAAATCTAAATACTCCCTCTGTTTCACAAAGAGTGTCATTTTAGAGTTTTGCACACAGATTAAGAAAACATTAATTTTTTGTTTTTTGAAAACAAAAACATCATTAACTATATACCTAAACATAATCTGCCCAATAGTAAAATAATATGCAGAATACTAATAGTCATAAAACATAAAAAAAATCATTAAATTTTGCATTGAAAACCTAAAACGACACTCTTTGTGAAACAAAAATAAAACCTTAAAACGACATTCTTTATGAAACGGAGGGAGTATCAAACATTTTTCTATTTACATTTAATGTGAATAATTCATAATAGATCCTTAAATGATAAGCTAGGGAATGTGAGTGTAAACTTGGTTCAGAGTAATCTTGGTAGATTGAAGGCCTAAGTAAGATTGGTTTGATCTCTCGTTTAGGCTTTATTTAGAGCTTTGTTCATGCTATAAAGAATACTATATTTTAATCCACGGTACACCGCGGGATGATTTAATTGTAAAGTTAGTATAAAAATATTTTGTAAATTATATCTCCTTATAACATATTTATTTATATTATAGTTTACAATTGTTATTAAGTAACGGTATACTGAGTCCAAGAGACAATTATTAATAAACTGAGGATTTAACCTGTGTTAAAGCGGTAATAAATATTGATTCAAATTCGTCCGCCACATAAATCCTTTCCAAAATATAATCTGTTCCGTAATTTATTAACTCGTCCCGTGATTTGTTTTTATTTTTAAATTTAATGATTATTTATTATATATAAAAGTTTACAAATCATATCTTTCTCTAAGACATTTATATTTAAATAAACTAAAGATTTAATATGTATTAAAATGGCATGTTAATGATATTTTAAAATTTTATAAATATTGTTATTAAGTAACATTATACCACGGGACAATTTTTGGTTTTATACAATCTTTTCTAAATGAGAATGATTTAATATGTCTAATATTTGTGGTATTACAAAAAAAAAGGATTTAATCAGTATTGAAGCGGCGGATTAATGATATTTTAATCTTTTTATTATTGTTGATTCAAAAACCCGTCCGGCCAAAAAACTCATTTATTTTATTAATTTTTTTATTCATGATATGATTCTGAATCATTGTCTAAATATTTTAATCGATGTAGAACGTTGAACACACATTTTCGTCAATTGGATAATATATGTCCGTTTTTAAAATTTCGAATCACAGTATATGCAGAAAAAAATTGATTTTTTTTACTTTATGTATTATATGATGATTCAAAATAGTTAAAAACAAATCAAACAAAGATGATAGGAGAATCATAATTATAAATCTTGATCAAATCTTCTAAACATCTAAATTATTAAATATAGAATATCCTGTGTATGAGTTAGATTAAATATAACCCGACCCAATAAATTTTTTTGTGAATAATTTTTTGAAACAGATCCGATATCCGATTAACTAGAAGCATTTTTACTCACCCGTCACCAAAGTATTTTGAAAATACTAGTATAGATAAGATCAAGCATTGTGACTTGTAACAAAATCGGTCAATGATATTCTTCATTTCATCAAACCTCAATAACAATGATAAATCTCTCGGGGCAATTTCTGTCTTCGTAAATTCTAACAATATCAGAAAATTAACTATCTTGCTTTTGATTGATTTAAGTTTTGATGATGACAATGAATAAATAAAAAACATATCTCCAAGGTTCTTGGAAGATTCAGATTCTACCAAACTCACGTCAAAAAGGTTTTACTACAACAAGAAACTCTTTAACATCCAAAGATAACAACTTGAAATAAGCTAGAATCAACAAAAATCTTTAAAGATCAAAAGACTTTTTAACCAGTGATGTTCTGAGACTTGTTGAGAATAACTCCTTCATACTTGACCTGGAACCATTTCATTGCATCGTCCTTAGTTACTCTGTGCTGAATACCAACACGAGCCTTGCATCTTCGGCGACGAGCCACACGGTATCCTGGGCGTTCAAGGACAACGTAGAAGTCCATTCCGTAGATACCAGTGGAAGGATCATACCTATATACACAAAACAAAACACATGAGAATAAAATAAAAACAGTAATCACTTCATCTTTCATCAAGCACACATCTAACATTCCACAGAAACCAGTAAAGGCTTTAGTGTTAATCAGTTTCAAATATAACATCCTTGAAAACCAGTAAAGCGTTCATCATTTACTAAACCCAAATCTAGCATTCAACAAAAACCAGTAAACGGCGCATCTATAATCTATTCCAAACTTAACATTCCACAAAAGCCAGGGTACATCAAAGACAAATCTAACACATTCACCAAAAACCAATGAAAGTCTTCATCTTATATAAAATTAAAACCTACCATCCTGACCAACCTGCACAAAACCACAAATTTGGAGACTAGATACTGAAACACTCTTATACATATTTAGAGAATAGTCATTTAGATGCAACTGAAATAATCTTATACATATACACATACACGAAGTACCAAAATCTTTATACAAAGCCAATAATGTAACTAATTCAAGGAATTTTCTTGCAAAACTTACTTGATTCCAAGATCAATGTGCTCTTGGATACCGAATCCAAAGCAACCAGTGTCACTAAAGTTCCTCCTAAGAAGCTCATACTCCTTAACTTTCAAACCACTCTCAAGAAGCTGCATTGCCTTCTCACCTCTCACAGTCACATAACACGCAATCTTCTCATTACGCCTAATACCAAAAGACCTCACAGTGTACCTCGCTGTCATAACAAAACCATAGCATACATCAGATTCAAGACCAACACAAAATCAAAATCCCTAAGAGATTTAGCATTCATACCTTTGGAGAAGACAGGGGTTTGACCACTGAGCTGTTCCAACACCTAAAACCGATATTACCAAAAACATCAATTCAAAACTAATCACTAAAAAAGCCAGCCATTGATTTAGACTAAAAACAGAGAAGGGTAATCATAAAGTTTAGATTTTTACAAACAAAATCGAACCTTTGAGGCACGAGTGAGACGATCACCACTCTCACCAACGGAAATGTTGAGAACAAGTTTCTGAACCTTAATGTCCCTCATGGGATTCGAGAGCTTCTTCTCCGACGCCTACGAGAAACAAAATAAAGTTCAATCATAAACCCATTGAACAAAACACATTTTCATTGAATTGATCTACAGAGAAGTACGAAACAAATACCATTTTAAGGAGATCAAAGTCGAGCTAAGAGAGGAAGCAATGTAGAGTTTGCGAAAACGAAACTGCGTTGCGTGCGAAGTGAGAGGAGTTATATGTGTTGGTACTTAGGGTTTCTGATACCAACGCAATGACGAAATTACCCCTTTGAATTATCAAAATGGCTTAATGGGCCAAATTACGAAGCCCATAAGAAAACCATATATTGAGCCTTATAAGGCAAAAAGTCTTTCAAGTTTCAATCACCAAATGAGTTTTGAATTTAACGAGACAATTGATGACTTTTACGAGACTTTTTTTTTGGATTCAATTAGGTTGAAAAAAATCGACACATGCAATTCATTATACAAAGTTTGAATTCGAATAGTGACTCATCTACAAGGATAATGACAATTTATGCACTTTTGAAGTCTCATCGTGGTCCAGAGAGCTCAATAGCTTCAACAATAAACGAATGCTCTTCATGACCATTACTATAATTCCTAGAGACACTTGGAGCTCTAGCTTCATACCCTCCTTCACACTGTTCCACTAAACCTTCTAGTACCTTCAACACCTGAGACATCCTCGGTCTTAGATTCGGATGTGGTTGTGTACAAAGCAGAGCTAATTCCACAACTTCCTCCAACACCAAATCATCAAACTCTCCTTTCAAATCTCTGTCCACCATCTCTGCAAATCTCTTCTCTGTTTTCAATGTCCTTACCTGATCCAACAAAAGCCAATGGTTTTGAATTAAGTTTTGGCCTCATGGGTTCTGTCTAAGTCGAGTAAAGTTTCATACTTTAAGCAAATGACTCAATGGATATAACAGAAAGCTTCAATCTTTTTTACTTACCCAGCTCAAAATCATTCCTTTTCGAACTTGACCATTGCCTTGATCAATCACCTTATGACCTGTTATGAGTTCAAGAATTAGTACTCCGAATCCGAAAACATCAGTTTTCTCTGAGGACTGTCCAGTGGAAAGGTACTCAGGAGCGATGTGTCCAATGGTTCCTCGGACCGCGGTTGTGACATGTGAATCTCTCTGGTCTAATAGCTTTGCGAGACCAAAATCTCCAACAATTGCTTCAAAACTCTCATCAAGTAGAATATTTGCAGCTTTGACGTCTCTGTGAATAATCTTTGGATTGCATTGCTCGTGCAAGTAAACAAGTCCTCGAGCTGCGCCGAGTGCAATGCTTATCCTCCGATTCCAATCTAGAGACGGCTTTTCTCCATAATTGTCTGAAACATGTCCTCTTTTAATGAACTTTTTGTGTTATATATCAAAATCAAATGAACAAGAAGGATGAGAAATGTTATAAGTTAAAACCTCTCAGGCGATCAGCCACGCTTCCATTTGGCATATAAGGATACACGAGCATTCTCTCTTCTGGTGTCATACAGAATCCAAAGAGACGTAAAAGATTACGGTGCACAGCTAAGCCAATCATTTCGACTTCGGTTTGAAACTGAACTTCTCCTGTATAATTCGGATCTTTCAATCTTTTAACCGCCACAACAGTTCCATTTGGGAGATACCCTTTATAAACCATCCCGAATCCTCCTTGTCCCAAAATGTTCTTCGGACTAAAATTGCTCGTTGCAGTTTGTATTTCGCGAAAACTGAACCTTTTCAGATGCCCGATTTCAAATTCGTAGTCTTGCTGCACTAAGAAATCCACAAAAATAATGCTGAGTTCAGCAAAGTCTTGACGTTTACCATAAAGGACTGACAGATAGAGACTATGAGATGTGTACCGTGTGATCTTGAGAGACGTGATCGATGCCAAAGCACCCAGAAGAAGAGAAAGATTAAAGAGATGATAAAGGCAACAACAATGCCAAATGCAAAAGAGAGCACTAAGCTGTGATGTTTGCTATTGTCCTTCTCAGACAAGCCTGTCGCTGCAGATTGATTGCAGCAAGTTAAACAAGTGAAATCATGTTTTAAATTAAGTTTTCCAGAGAATTTTTGAGGCAAGATACCATTTCTCACAGGTGCAGCATCTGAGCAAAGCTCTTGGGAAGCTGGACCACAAAGGAATGCATTTCCTACAATCCTATAACAGAAATTTATCAAGAAGCTTTCACATACATTGTAACGGTTAATAATCATGTGTTTTTCGCATATCTTACCTGTAGTCTTTTGCTAATATATTTGGAGTTGGTCCGCTTAGATTGTTGAAAGATAGATCCCTATTCAAGTTTTTGATAAAAAAAACATTAGTCTAAGAAACATTATACGAAATAGAAACTTCGATAAACTGTAATGTTAGGTAGAGTAAGACATACAAGAAATAAAGACCTGAGAGGCCAGCGACAAGGTGGGGAATCTGCCCGGATAAAAGATTCCTGCTTAGCCGCCTACAAGACTTAAAAAGAACTTGTAAGATAATAACAATTGCAACATTAACCGAAACAAGAATCATTAATATCAAAACTCACAAGTAGTTTAAGTGAGTCAAGAACCCTAAAGAAGCTGGGATTTCTCCACTAAACCGGTTCCCAGATAGATCAAGAGTTTCAAGCTCAGAAAGTTGTCCTAACTCAGAAGGAATCGGACCGGTTAACTGATTATTCTGCAGTAACCTATAAAAATAACAAAAGTAACCGAATTAGATACAACAAACACATTCTTGAACTCCAACATTAACCAAAAATTCATTTTAACTCACAAAGTATGAAGATGAGTTAATTCCCCAATACTAGTAGATATTATCCCTGATAATCCTTTACTAGCCATCTCTCTGCATCAGAAAATTTCAATAAACTCAGCAAAAAAAAACGTTTCTCAGAGACATTTAGTCGAACAATTGGTGCGCATAGATAGATACTCACAGAGAAACCACAAAACCTTGAGAGGAACAACCAACCATGTTCCAAGTACAAGGATCAACAGAGTTTATATCCCAACCAGACAAAACCTCTTTCTCATCTTTCATCTTATTCTTCACTGACATTAAAGCAGCCACTACAAGAACCAAAAAATCGATAAAGTTAAAACCTTTTTACATAATAAAAAAAAAAAAAAAAAAAGATTTTTGATAAATTCTTCACCTTCATAGTTAACACCCTTTGGAGATAAGAGACTATCCATTGCAAAAACAGAATCAAGAACAGAGTAATAAACCCAGATTCCTAAAAAAAGAAACTTTATCAAAAAAATCTCCATCTAAGAGAGTACGTAAAAGAAATCTCTGGACTTCAATGTCAGTTATCATTTGTCTGCCCTTTCTTCTAGGGCAGACCATTATAAATACATTAAAAAGACAAATTTTTTTGCATTAAATTGTGTACGAATTGAATCGAGATGAAGAAGAAGACAAATAAAAATGGAAGCGGGAAAATCCTCGAAATTGTCACACCATTGTTCCCTTGTCTTCTGTTCTGTAAGACTTTTTTTTTTGTTTTTATATCTGACTTTGACAGTGTTAGTGAGATTAGATCCTCTGTAATCAAACGTACGATAACAATGGTACAACCGGCACACACTCAGTACCCGAATGGGAACCGACTGGAACCCGAAAATTTAGATTTATCTATTCCTCCTTCCGTTTCGTTTTAGTTGTCGTTTTAGGACTTAAATTTTGTTTCGTTTTAGTTGTCGTTTTAGGTTTTCAATGCAAATATTTGGTAAAAATTCCAGTATTATCCCTATTGTTTTAATGTTGTGACCAATGAATTTTTTTATAAAATATATTAATAAAGAGTAAAACAGAAATTTAATGCTTTTCTTAATTTATGTGAAAAAACCTTAAACGACAACTAAAACGAAACGGAGGGAGTAGGTCATAAACTCATATATTCGAAAATCCGAATCCAAACCTGATCCAAACCCAAAAATACCCAAATATTTTATTTGAAAACCCGAAATTTTATCCGAAAACTTGAATATTTACCCGAAAATCCGGGTATTTATCTGAATCCGGGTATTTACCTAAAATCCGAGAATTTAACCGAATATTTATATAGCGAGTATTTAACGGATCTAAAAATCTATATCCAAACCGACCCGAACCGAACCCGAACCAATTTTTTTTGTTATCCTATTGGATCTTAAACTCCTCTACCCAAAAAGATTCGTATCCGATCGGGTTTTATCCGAATCCGATTCGCTTACCCGAATGCCCAGTTGAATCTGATTACCGTTTGGTTTATTCTCAGACAATTTGAATTCGGTTTGATAAAATTTCGGTTCGGGAATAACCGTTTGGTTCGCCCAGCCTTAAAACCGAACCCTCTAAAATCGTCTCTGCGCCGCTTTCTCTCTCAAATGGTGATCGATGTTCATATTTGTAAAATGTTTTCTTTTTCTCCAAATTCACAGTAAAAAGATATGAATTCTCTAAAATCTTTGAGATACAGTAGCATTAGAGAAGTTTTAACACATCAAAACCCAACAAAGTCTCCATTTTTATGTCCACTTTACTTCTACAATCAAAAAAGATGGTTAAAGCCTGTAGATTCAGCACAAACTAGGTTAGAGAATCGAACAAGAGATCATCGATTAGACACACTTATTGCCCAGATTAGGAAACTAAACATCATTCTCGAGATTTCTAGACTTTGTTGTAGCAAAAAGCGTGGTCCTTTTGTGTCTTTGCAGCTTATGTCTAGATGGAAGAATCTCGTTGGTTTGAATGTAAATGTTGGAGCTTTTATTGGTAAGTATCCTCATGCTTTTGAGATCTTTACACATCCTTTTAGGAAGAATCTGTGTTGTAAGATTACTGAGAAGTTTAAGGTTTTGATTGATGAGGAAGAGAGTGTTGTTAGAGAGTGTGAGGTTGATGCTGTGAAGAGGGTAAAGAAGTTGTTGTTGATGTCGAAAACCGGTGTTCTTCGTGTTCATGCTTTGAGGTTGATTAGAAAGGAATTGGGTTTGCCTGAGGATTTTCGAGATTCGATTTTGGCTAAGTATAGTTCAGATTTCAGGTTGGTTGATTTGGAGACTTTGGAGTTAGTTGATGGAGGTGGTGAGAATGAGAGTTTGTGTGTGGCAAAAGTTGAGGAGTGGAGAGAAGTTGAATATAGAGAGAAATGGTTGAGTGAGTTTGAGACGAATTACGCGTTTCCGATTCATCTTCCTACAGGATTCAAGATTGAGAAAGGTTTCAGAGAAGAGTTAAAGAATTGGCAAAGGGTTCCTTATGTGAAGCCATATGAGAGAAAGGAGATTTCTCGAGGGTTAGAGAGATTCGAGAAGCGAGTTGTTGCAGTGATCCATGAGCTTCTGAGCTTAACGGTAGAGAAAATGGTTGAAGTCGAGAGATTAGCTCATTTCCGAAAGGATCTTGGCATTGAAGTAAATGTCAGGGAAGTAATATTGAAACATCCCGGGATTTTCTATGTATCGACGAAAGGAAGTACGCAGACTTTGTTTCTAAGAGAAGCTTATAGCAAAGGCTGTTTGATTGAGCCAAATCCGATATACAATGTGCGGAGGAAAATGCTGGATCTTGTGTTGTTGAAAACGCGACATACGAGAAAGTTGTTACAAACAGAAGATGAAACTCATGAAGAAGAGAAGAGTAGAGATGTTTTGACTAGCTCTCATGAAGATTGGGAAGGAGAGAGAGATGGAGATTGGGTCTTACCAATTCTGGGGAAATGAAGTCTGTGCAAAAGTCTCATCTTAATGTATGAAAGTGTATTAGATTGATCTTGTTTGTGAATTAGATGATCCTATCTCTCATATCTCTGCAGAGTTTTGTTCTTGTGGCCATAACTGTAATTATGATTTGGTGGGTTTTGATTTGAAGGATTGAGCAGGAGGAAGAGGAACACAAAATGAAGATTACTTCATCAGAAAATCACTAACTACAGTAGTATGTATTTTTATTGATTAAATTATTTAAAATTTCCTTTGCCCAAAAAAAAAAAAAAATTATTTAAAATTTCCTAAAAACAATAAGTGATTATTTATTAATTAATTAGGGTATCCAATTTTAGTCGGATTTCTTTTCGTGTAAGTTATCTTCTACCATTAACCCTAGCTCTCTATTCGAAGCTGCAAAACCCTATGGCTCGACGAAGCGTTGGGGAACGACAAGCCGAAGCCAATAAGGTTCGATATATCTCTCTCTATCTATATCTCCCATAATTACATGCCTCTGCTTTTGATACGAAATTGGCCTTTGATTTGTGGTCTATGGTGATAAGATTGGTTCTTTTGAGAGATCGTTTAAGAGTACTAGGCAAAGGAAACTTTACCTGTTACGTCTGTTAATGAAGCAATTCAAAGCGGTGCAAGAATTGCTCAATGATATCGCAATTCTGCCTCACTCAAACACCGAGTTATCTGCAAAGGAAACTTCATCTAGCAGTTCAAGAACAACTTCTTGGATGAAGAATGAGATTGGCATGCACAAACAACTCTCTGCTGTCTCTAGAACTAGAAACTCATCAGCAATGTCCTTGACCGCAAACGAACGGCTTTTGGAGTAGCTAGCAAACCATGTTTGTGAATTAGATGAATCCTGTCTCATATCTGATTGCATATCTCTGTAAATTTTTGTTTTTGTCGCCATGAATGTTTTTTATGATGAAATTGTAGCAAACAAGAACTATTTGGTGGGTTTTGATTTAAGAATTGATCAGTAGGAAGAGGAACACGAAATGAAGATAACTTCATTAGAAAATCACTTTGGCTTTATGCGAAAATTCTCAGTAACAACAATTGAAACTAAGAGAAATGATTTTGGCAAAATGGGCTCCAAACAATTTGGTTGATCATGGAGGAGAGAAGAGTTAAGTAAGAGTATTCTCCAACGGACTATATTGCGATCAAATCTCCAAGTAAAGGTTTTATACGACTTAAAGCCCAATAAGGCCCATGAAACTTTAGAACAGTATTCACGTAGTAGGCTCATAAACATCTTACTTGGTATAGATATCCTAACAATGGTTTTGTCAACTTGTAAAAATGCTTCAGAAATATTATTTTCTTGCAGATATTAAAGTGTTTTTGAATGTTAGAAATAGCCAGTAAAACTAAAAAGGTGGAGAGATCAAATAAATGTTTTGTTTATTATATAAAACAGTGACAAATTTTAACCAAAGAAAGAAAGAAAAGTGAAAAAGAAAAAAACTCAAGAAGAGAATGAAAGGATGTGAAGATATAGACGTGACGAAAGTGCTAAGGATTAAGTTACTTTGTTTTCTCTTTTTGGTGAATATAAGAAGAATAATATCAACATCGAAATATGATTTTTAAAAGAAAATTAATATATAAATAAAAAGTTTGAAAGCGGAATAAAGTGGAATTCATAACAAAACAAAGAGAAAAATGAGAAAAAAAAAATATGGATCAGACAAAACAAAATGAAGGCAGCCAAGAGAGTATAGAGGCATAAATATCAAGGGAGTATAATATATAGTATTTTGATTGAAGTGTTTAACGTAATAGTTTGTAGTGTACTAGTATTATTACCGGTATATATCATATTAATTTTACACTGACAACAAATTATGTCAAAAGTATTTAAATTGCAATTATAATAGAACACAATAATAGAACACTCATGTCACATACATTTTTAAATGATTTTTTGTTTAATTTAAGAATGAATTACCGGATTGGGCTTTATTTCAGCAAAAATTATAGATTTGGGACAGATCGTCGGGACTCACGTTTTAGGCATTACTTTTATCATAGAATGACGATTTTACCCTTCAAAACTGCAACAACCTAACTCAAAGAAACAACAATCTAAACTTTAAATTCAATCAAATTTCAATTCAGTTAGGCAAAAGAGAATGATCTCCAAAGAATATAGAAGATGGAGATGAAGTTGAATTGCTGGAATTGAAGATGAATGGAGAAATAGCATTTCCGGTCATGAAAACCTCTCTCCGACGATTACGCATTTACCCTTGGGTTTAGTCTATATTATCTAGGGTTTAGTTTTCTTTATTCAACCCTTGATTAATTGAAAAGATGGTTGTGTTTGGGAAAAGAGATGATGGTTGTCGTCAGAAAAAAGGGTTATGGTTTTGGGAAAGAAACGTGGGTTGTGCTCGGGAAGAGGAGGATGAAGAGATGTAGAAGAAAAGGGTAAATGCGTAATTTCGTGTAGTCCAGAAATACCTAAAACTGAAGCCCAGGTAAATAATCCCTTATCTAAAATTTTTGGCCCAATAAATGCCCAATTCAGTAATAATCCCTTAATTTAAACCAAAATAAACAAAACTAGATCCGCTATGTTTTTATGAGTATGGTATCATCCAGATTATAGATTGGTTTAGCTTCTTTGTCTCAGCATTCAAAATCTAATCGAAGTTTGGTCAGTTCAAAGGTTTCTATAGAGCCGTTTAAAGTCATTGAGTTTGACATTGTTGCTTTCGGAAGAAATATGAAGACCTAAACTCTTTGTCGGTCTTTCTTGCCACAATAGAAATCTAGGTTCGCTTTGGTTGGAAGGTAATATTGTTTCGCTGATCGGGTTGTTATAAGCGATTAGCTTTGATCATTTTAATTTTGGGGAGTTTAGTTGGCAAGTTTTCTTAAGAGATTTTGTCGTTAATCATGGTTTTTTGCTTTATTTTCTGTGGAACTTCGATATTTTTATTTGCTTCTCTATTTAGGGTTTAATTTTGGCGAGTTTTATATATTAAAAATGTATTTCACCTTATATATCTCAATTATATAATATAATAGAAAAGATTCAGACCAAAAAAAGAAAAGAAAAAAACTACATCTTATTGTCAAGTGAGTCTTATTCGCTAGAATCCGAATATAATACTTGGACTAAAATAAGGTTATGCATCGTAGAAAAAACAAACAAAAAAAACCAATAAGCTCTCACCAGCTTCTCAGCATTATCTTACCAATACTTTTCCACCTTACCCACTTTGTTTTGTCTTCCCTCATTTAACATTTTTTCCTCATTATTCTGTGATTCTATCACATGATGTAGTACGGGTCGAGAAAAAAAAATCAATGAATAGAAATGTCTGGACAAATCGATGACATATATATACTTCAGTAAATGTTAGTTATTGAATCCAAGATTAAGATACTTCTTTCGATAACTTTTAAGTGATACCATCAATATCTTTAAGCAATGGCGATGATATCGTTAGTGGTTTGTTAAAATGCTTAACGTTTCATGACCTCATTTTTTTTTTTTTTTGGCTTCTAACTTTTGCTCTTCTTTTGGCTTCTGACCTCATTTTTTATAAGTCATTGTCAAACCCTGATTTAATTCGGACTATATATGACTGACGTGTCAATGTTAAACTCTAATTTCATTGAGATTACAACTAACGTATCAAATATCAATGCCAAACTCTAGTCCTTTGCCAGTTAATTTAATTCAGAGTGTCAAACCAATAATCAAGATCTCGTGTTAGTGATTATTAGGACTTTTCGTCACTTGTAGTAAAAAGAAGTAGATTTTAAATTAAGTTTTTTTTTTTACAATTGCATTGGTTAACAAAATTTTGTCAATTTTGAAAATAACTTTCTGTAATTTTAGATAAACAAATTACAAAATACCTTGACAAAAGTGCATATATCTCACACACCGCAAATCAACAACACCCGAATCTAATACTCACATGATTTATCTAAAGCCAACTTTTTTTCTTCCTAACTCAACGTGAAACCGTACGTATGTCTTTAAGAAGACCCAAGACTTGTTGCATTGTTGGTCGCTTCCCCGGCGTCTCCGCCGTGCAAAAGTAACCAACCCGAAGACTCTCGACCATCTCATTAACCGATTCTCCAACCGCTAACCGCAATCTCGAGTCAAGAGCTTCCTCTCCTCTTCTCTCCTTAACCAACCGTCGAACTGATTTAACATTCTCATCCCTCCCTTGCTTCCCGGTTAATAGCTCAAATAAAATCACCCCGAAACTATACACATCGAATTCTACATTGTTGTTATTAGTATCATCTCCGGTTTTCGAAATGTTGTTTATACCAAAATCAGAGATTCGCGGCTCTAGGGTTTCGGTTAGGAGGATGTTGGTAGCGACCAAATGTCCATGAGTAGTACCAACGTGATGAAGATAGGCTAAACCACGTGCAACTCCAATGGCTATACGGTGACGTATTAGCCAGTTTGTTTTCTCAGGCGATGAGTCTCCGACGTGACTTTCCCATGTATCGGCACTCCAATCTTCCACGTTGGTTTCTCCTGCCGGGAGCTCGTGTAGCCATCGGTGAAGATCTCCATTAGCCATAAATTCATATAATATAAGCTTCTCTTTTCCTAAAATTAATGATAAACCACAATATTAGTTAGGAACAAATAAATATAATGCTGATTTTTTTCACAAAAATGTTTTAAATTACGTATGAAAATTAATATTGCATTTCCCTAATTCACCATGACAATTAAATTCAATAAAATGTAAATCTTGGTTAAAATACTTAAATTAATAAACTGATGCTAAACTTGTTCTTAAGTATTAAATTTTAAATTCACCATTTAAAACAGAGTTAATACTGCAAAACATATTGTGGTGAACATGGTAAATAAGGTCAGAAAGAAAACATATTTAGCATATACGTAAAGGAAAAAGATTATAGAAACCCGACAAGCTAAATATAATCTCTACGAGTCCCAAAGCAAAGGATGTGACTTGTCTGCACATTTTTTAAAGTCGTCCCAGTCGTCCACTAACAAAAACACCAAATGAAACAACCCTAAAAACAAGTCATTGTAAGAATCTATCACACACACATTACTTTATTTTCTCTGAGAAACTTTTTGGAATAATTATACATTTTTACGTTAAGATCACAAAAAATCATAAAATCTAGTAATCATGGCACAAAAAACATATAGATTTTTTTTACGTGACGTATCATCACAGAACTGACTTCTTTCGTCTGTACAACAACGCATACGAAGATACTACTATTGAATACGACACCGTTCAGCATTTAATGCCTCATTAATGTGTTTATCCAAAAACCCGTGAAAGTAGAGACAAAAATTCATTAAATGACGTCTACGCCTTCATATTTTATTGATTTAAATTCCAACCCCAAAAAATGTTCTACAGAAAAAGTAAAAAAAGTCAAATCCTTAATATTTTTGGTTCTAAATTAGCTTACTTCACTAATTATAATTGGCGAAAAAATTACATGATTTTGTTATCTTTTGTTTACAAAAAGAAAAAGTTAACCTATTTTCTAATTTTTTGCTTGAAATATACTTAGTTTATGAGATTTTTAGCGTTTATACTTCGTTTAGTAACTTGGTTAAAAACGGAAATACTTTGTTCCGTTACATATTATCGAAAGTTATATATAGCATCAAAATATATTTGCTACATAAGCATGTCCTTTAAAGTCGATTTCAAAACTTTAGGTCATAATTAAAAAGAAATTAAAAATATTCGGAAAGATTAGTTAAGTACCTGCGATGCAATAACCGGAGAGACTCAAAAGATTTGGATGTTTAAGCCGAGTTAAAGCTTCAAACGCAGTAACGGCGTCGTTTTGATCAACGTCTCTGATTCTCTCAAGAACTTTGATCGCCACGTGGAGATCTCCGGGCAAAACGGCACGGTAAAGTGGACCACAAGTGCCGTCAGATATAACAGACTCCGTTCCGAAATGTGACGTGGCAACAATCAGATCCTTGAAAGTCAGATTCATCAACGGCTTAGATGCCAGCACAACCGGAGCCGCCGTTGGTTCTTTTATATCGGCGACCCACGACGAACCTGACTCCGTTCCGAATTCGAACGGTCCAGATTTCTCCATTTTGAAATCTAACGGTGTAGGATTCGAAATCGCCCATCTCGATTTCGTCCTCGCTGATTTCATTCTCCGGCGGATTAAAATTATAGCCACCGCGAAGATTAGGATTATCAAAGCTCCTAACGAAGACGATAAACCAATCACCAAAGGAGTGTGTTTTAAACGATGCGTTTTGACGGTTCGATGACGCGACGGCGGTGGAGGACTCCGGTGAGTGAGATGGTGGAGACGGTGGTGGTTAGGGATTTTGGAATCGTTGAAGACGAAATCGCCACCGTGTAAGAAAGCCGATTTGCCGAATTTTCGGTATTTGTCAAATCCGACCGAACCGGAAAACCGGTTTGCAGATAAATTCAAGAACTGGAGATGGTTTAAATTCGGAAAATCAACCGGGAACGAACCGTTCATTGAGTTCTCCGACATATCCAAGTAGTTCAATGACTTTAAACCGGAAATTGGTTTAATACTGCCATTGATTTTACATCTGGAGAGATCAAGGTGGCGTAAACCGGAGAGAAAACCCAAACCAAGAGGCAAAACACCGAGATTGTTATGCGAAAGGTCGAGAGATGTGAGGTTAGTAAACCCGGTTAGGTTTACCGCGTTGGTAAACCGATTGAACGAGAGATTCAACTCCTTAACCGAAGACAAAACCGAACCGTTAAACGGAATCACTCGTATAGAGCCACCAAACCGATTCCGGGAGAGATTAACAGAGACAAGACCTGGTTTAGACCAGAGCCAAGTGGGAAGAGAACCATCGAGAGAGTTGTTGGAGAGATCAAGAACACGTAAGCTCGTGAGATTACGTAAAGGGTTCCAAGAAACGGTGCCGTTTAAGTTTCTCGACGGAAGAACGACGTGAGTGATGACGGCGGAGCAGTTAGAGGAGAACCAAGAAGAGTTGAAACCGGAGACGTAACGGAAAACTCTGGTTAATTGACGGAAGTCTGTGCCGTTAGGACAAGAAACTGTGGAAGAGTCTGAGTGTGAGAAGGAGACCAAAGACAAGAGAAGAAACAACTTTAGAAACATGTTTTTAGTTTGTTGTTGATGATTGTTTTTCCATGGAAAATAAAGAAATGGTGAAGAGAGAGAAAGAGAGAGAGAGAGAGAGAGAGAGGGTTTAGTAGTTGCAGTATTTGAGAGGAGCTGGTGAGGTTTATCAGAGAAGAGAGATAGAGAGATACATATGGTTGATAATATGCTAACGATGACGTGGATTATGATGCAAAAAGTAAAAGTCAAAATGTTATAAACTAGTTCGATAATAAATTAATCAGTGGAATGATGGCAAATAATATTATGCAACTGACAAAAAATATTTTTAATTAGTTAAATAAGTTTTTTTCAAAAATAAAAGAAAATTATTGTGTGGTAATAGTAAATTTTAGCTATTAACAATCGATTTATGTAGTAACTATACGTTAAAATGTATTATAAAAACGGTGAAATTCTACATTTATAAAAACCATTCCCAAATAATTATCTCAAAATTTTGCATGAACATTATCTGTTTATAAAAAGTTGAATTGAATCATTTATCTTTTGGATTATAGATTTATAGGATTCTGTAATCAAGTGTTTATTATCATCATTATCTTTATAAGGTACTTTTTCTTTTTCTTTTGGAAAAGCGAAAGTTAAACTAAACTTCATGTAGGAAATAAACAATTTTAATTATTTTGAATCATTGAATTAATTTTACTTTGTGGTAAATTGAAATTGATTTCTTCAACAAAGAAATGTGTATATATTTAGATTATATATACTTAGTGAATCAAATAATTTTAGTGATTCGGATTATTGATAAACTATTTTTCCTTAAAAACTTTTATTTTTACCTTTCACTTTTTTCAAAAGAAAAGAGAGGCAAAGAAAAAAGTACCTTGTAAAGATAATGATGATAAGTACATGATTGGTATCCTATAAATCAAAAGAGAAATCATGGAATTCATTTTTTTTTTCCAATCATGGACAAATCTGTATACTTCAAAAAAGGATAGGCAATAACTGAATTTAGTGTAATAATACGAAAGACATGCATCAGTCATTATACTACTATGTAATTGTCCATTAGTTTGAAAATGAAAATCGGTGCATTATGTGGAATTTGATTTTACAGTGGAATTTGACTACTAGATTGTCATTTATATACACTGTTTTTAAACCCGACCCAGACATTGAACCGGATTATCTTCTGGGTCACTGGATCATTGGATCAACTGGGTTCGACCACGAGTCAATTGATTAAAATTTATTTAATATATTTAATATTTATAGAAATTATATAGTTTTTATAAATATAAAAATAAAAATATTTATACTATATTTACAAAATATGAAGTCTAACAATAATACTAAAGTGATTCAAATTAAAAAAAAAATTAAATCCAAGTAAAAGTCTAAAACCGTACCAAATATTAAAATAGTAGAAAATAGCCAATAACAGAAATAAACTAATAAAACATCGCGAATTCAAAACAACTAATCTTGATTATTTCTTTCACCATTACATTCATTTTCTTTAGACGGTACTGTAAAGTTTTATCAAAATCTAAAACAAAATGAGTTTAAGAACTAAAATTTTTATTTTAAATAACTAAATAGAGTCTAAAAATCTATATTTTATTCCAAAATCAAATGATATTTTCAAAACTCATACCCAGCCGGTTCAACCGGTTCACTGGGTCGCGGGTTAATGGCGGGTTTTTGTGGATTTTTCCGGTTTTGAAATTGGTGGATATTAGCACTAAACCCAAACCGGAAAAGTGCTCGGATCGTAGGTTAACCGGTCGGACCGGGCGGTCCGGGTCGGACGTGAAAACACTGTTTATATACAGGAAACATAAACAAGGAAAGAATAGTATAGCACTATAAATATTAATTATTATATCTATTAATTATTGAATATTTATTGTCTATAATTTTTTACAATATGAGTCTATTATAGGTTCGCATGTGATATTAAAGTGCAATAATCAAATAATCAACGTTGTCAATATATATGCAAATCGTTGCATATATATAAAATTATGGGAATGTGTCTTTAGTCAAGTGGTTAAGTCCATTTGACTCTGCCTTCCGACCGGAGTTCGACTCGAGCTCCACTAACTCGCGTTACCTCGCGTAGTAGGATTTGAGTATGGATCGGGTTTTGTCGATCCAAATATGTCAAAAAAAAAAAAAACATTACTATAAAAATGAAAATTATATTTTGATTCGCAGTATGTATAGTCTGTTGTTGTTTATGGGTTTGAAACTCAAGTGAAGTAAGCAAAGAGGTATGGTTGGTGCGATGACTTTGTGTGGTAGTTTGATGCAGATGATGCGAAATAGAAACGTGGACCCTATCTTTTAACAAAATCCATTTAATTATCTAATGTCATTCGGTGTTGTATCCCAGGTGTAATTTTGCATATCCTCACTATCTTTAAATTTTAAAACAAAAAACGTGTTTTAAGAAATTTACTCATGTCTTGTAATAAATGTTTATATTTATTACTATCGGTTATTTGTTGATGGGTTTGGTTGAAAAGTAAATAATGGTGCAGTTGAATAAAACAAAACAATTACTTTTTGAATAACAAGATTTTTATCCGAGTCTCTGTTTTGATCTAACATTTCGGTTATTAAAGTATCAAAATTTACATTTAACTTTTTTTTTTTTTTGATAATTCAGGGTAAATTCGTAAGACTAATTCCTGGGGAGAGGGTGTCCTACAGGTAGGATCCCCCAAGTTTTCAAATGGGCCGTAAACAATATACACATATCCATGTGTCCATGATTCGCAGTATGTATAGTCTGAATTTACATTTAACTTATTTCAAGAGGACTAACATTTTTATTAAATTAGCTAAGTAAAGCTTGATTATATTGATAATTGTGTAGAGTATATATCGCTGTCCAAAACATTCTAATGAGAAACCACACAAATTCAAATTTGCGTTGAATGATATGAATATTATACTATTTTTGGTGTTAGTGTGTTACTATTTTGAAAGATTCAAACATATTAAGACTTTACTACCATATTAACACTTTACTAATTGTAAAGTTTTAATAAAACATTGCAAATTTTATGACTTAAAGAAAATGTCCGCCGGAGAAAAGACTATAGTTTAATGTTTTAATGGACATACGTCCGTATATAAATATATGGTACATGCACCAAGGAGATCGGTTGGACCGGATTCTGTGGAAGCATATTTTATCAAGACATTATTTATTGTTTTTTGATATATAACCTAGAAGTTTAAAACTTAATCAAATATCCAAAATATGCAAAAAAAAAAAAAAAAAAAAAAAAACTAGGTTTTAAAAATGTTAAAGTTTAGCGACTTAAACCGTTTACAAACCAAAAAAAAAAAACTAATAATAAAATTTGTAGATTGGAGGACTTGCATGATTGATACCAACCGGAAAAATTCTTCACCACTAAAAATTGAAAATTCATAATTACATAATTCTTTAGTTAAAATTTCTTAAACTTTTAAGAGTTCTAGTCAAAATGTATATCCAAATGCATGTGGTTCGATTGTGCTTGTAGCTGTCTAAGAAAAACATATACTATATAACCCCCATATTCCTGTTTATTTCATTGTGTTATGACATTGGTGTTGACCAAAAAATAAGATCTTTTGGTATTAGATCTCCTAAAACAAAAGTCTAGATTACCTCAGGACATTTATGTATTAATTACATAAATTTCATGATGACTAAACATTGAATTCAGCCAACACTACCCATTAAATAAGAGCAAGTAATTTGCTCCTCTTTTACATATTGCAACAAAATGTTTTTAATAAGATTGATGATATATGTACTTGGTGTGGCCATTTGTTCTTGTCATGATGGTAGGATTAAAAAATTCCCAAAATTTAATTCACTTATATACAAAAGGTTTTATTTCAGATCCATCCAATTTTTGTTTTCCAGTAGTAAGTCACTGAACTTCCTAAAAACGCTTAGTCGGAGTCTCATCTTCTTCACAATTAGAACATCACGGTGTATATATTTAAGTCTAGCAACACGTAATTATTGTGAAAGTAATGTGCTGCAAAATGGTTTTTATGTTAAAAATACCTTGTCATAACAACTAATTAAAAAATGAAGAAAGAATGACCTTGGGAAATTCCAAACAAATCCACTAAATCCCAAGACAAAAAGATCCATAGAATGCCAACTAATATTCCACAAAGTATCTAACACATTCACATTCTCCTTGAGCAACCAAACCTAAAAGTTAATCCACATTCTTTATTTTATCATTTTAACCACTCACCCCACCAACATGGTTGGTCCATGTGCTTGCTTATATGTGTATGTGCGATCTCTTTGTTCTAGTTTAATGTTATTGGGTTATTCTTATGTTACTGACTGGATCTTTGACTGGAGCTTATGATTTGATAGATTGTATCAGTGTTGCCTCTGTGTGATAATCAAAATTTAAACTGATCGGTATATGTATGTTTTACAATGGCGCAACTATGATTTGATAAGAGTTATATCAGCTTGTAAAATCAATCAAGTTTTGAATCGATGTATATTTTAAATTTCTATAGAGCAAAAATCACAATTCTGCAATAGATAAATTGTTTTAGACAGAGACAATATTTAGGCCGAATTCATTCATTTTGGACTTTCAGGCCCATAATAAAGTTAAAATCCAGCCCAATGTTCTGGTCCATGATTATATATTGACCTAAATCTCTCTCTTTTTGTTGGGGCAAGCCTAGTCTCAAAAGAGAAAAGTTTACAAGATTTTTTTTTTGTTGACTAATTTTAAAAGATCTCAAATTCTCAATAAAGAAAATAAACATGACTAAATTTTTCCAAAAGAAATGAACTTATTGCTCTATTTCACACGAATCACACCTGTCAAAAGAGGTTAATTCACCAAACTACAAGTGTGGCCTGATACGTGCACGTTATTATCAAAATGTACGCTATAAAAAACCTTAGATTTAAATATTTGTAACACTCTTAATAATATTAATAAGATTTGTTAGTTGGGTTGGGTTATATATCAAATACAGCAATAAGTTCGAATTCACGACAAGTGGAAACTTTTCATTTTTGCTTTTATTTAAATATTGACCGACCATTATGTTACGTTGACTTATATTTTGGTTTTCTAATTAAAAACAATTAATACGACTTGTATATTGAGCTGACTAGTAATCTCAACTCTCAAATAAACACCAAAAAACTACGATAGATGATTGTGGGAGTGAAAAAATAAATTATTTGTTATCTTAATTTTTTTTTATCGTTTTATTTTATGCAATATATTGT